TCCAAGGCAAGCCATTCAATATCACAGTAATACAAGTCTATGCCCCGACCAGTAATGCTGAAGAAGCTGAAGTTGAACAGTTCTATGAAGACATACAAGACCTTCTAGAACTAACACCCAAAAAAGATATTCTTTTCATTACAGGGGACTGGAATGCAAAAGTAGGAAGTCAAGAAACACCTGGAGTAACAGGCAAATTTGGCCTTAGAATACAGAATGAAGCTGGGCAAAGGCTAATAGAGTTCTGCCAAGAGAACGCTCTGCTCATAGCAAACACCCTCTCCAACAACATGAGAGAAGACTCTACACATGGACATCACCAGATGGTCGACACCGAAACCAGATCGATTATATTCTTTGCAGCCAAAGATGGAGAAGCTCTATACAGTCAGCAAAAACAAGACCGGGAGCTGACTGTGGCTCAGATCATGAACTCCTTATTGCCAAATTCAGACTTAAATTGAACAAAGTGGAGAAAACCACTAGACCATTCAGGTATGACCTAAATCAAATCCCTTACAAATCAACAGTGGAAGTGAGAAATGCATTCAAGGGATTAGATCTGATGAAGGCAGTGCCTAATCAACTATGGACGGAGGTTCGTGACATTGTACAGGGGACAGGGAGCAAGACCATACCCAAGAAAAAGAAATGCAAAACAGCAAAATGGCTGTCAGAGTTCGTCTTACAAATAGCTGTGAAAAGAAGGGAAGCAAAAAGCAAAGGAGAAAAGGAAAGATATTCCCATTTGAATGCAGAGTTCCAAAGAACAGCAAGGAGAGATAAGAAAGCCTTCCTCAGTAATCAATACAAAGAAATAGAGGAAAACAATAGAATGGGAAAGACTAGAGATCTCTTCAACAAAATTAGAGATACCATTTCATGCAAAGATGGGCTCAACAAAGGACAGAAAAGGTATGGACCGAATAGAAGCAGAAGATATTAAAAAGAGGTGGCAAGAATACAGAAAAGAACTGTACAAAAAAGATCTTCATGACCCAGATAATCACGATAGTGTGATCACTCACCTAGAGCCAGGCATCCTGGAGTGTGAAGTCAAGTGGGCCTTAGGAAGCATCACTATGAACAAAGCTAGTGGAAGTGATGGAATTCCAGTTGAGCTATTTCAAATCCTAAAAGATGATGCTGTGAAAGTGCTGCACTCAGTATGCCAGCAAGTTTGGAAAACTCAGCAGTGGCCACAGGACTGGAAAAGGTCAGTTTTCATTCCAATCCCAAAGAAAGGCAATGCCAAAGAATGCTCAAACTACCGCACAATTGCACTCATCTCACAAGCTAGCAAAGTAATGCTCAAAGTTCTCCAAGCCAGACTTCAACAGTACGTGAACCGTGAACTTCCACATGTTCAAGCTGGATTTAGCAAAGGCAGAGGAACCAGAGATCAAACTGCCAACATCTGCTGGATCATCAAAAAAGCAAGAGAATTCCAGAAAAACATCTACTTCTGCTTTATTGACTATGTCAAAGCCTTTGACTGTGTGGATCACCACAAACTGTAGAAAATTCTGAAAGGGATGGGATATACCAGACCATCTGACCTGCCTCCTGAGAAATCTATATGCAGGTCAGGAAGCAACAGTTAGAACTGCACATGAAACAATAGACTGGTTCCAAATAGGGAAAGGAGTACGTCAAGGCTGTATACTGTCACCCTGCTTATTTAACTTATATGCAGAGTACATCATGAGAAATGCTGGGCTGGATGAAGCACAAGCTGGAATCAAGATGCCAGGAAAAATATCAATAACCTCAGATATGCAGATGACACCATCCTTATGGCAGAAAGCGAAGAAGAACTAAAGAGCCTCTTGATCAAAGTGAAAGATGAGAATGAAAAGCAGGCTTAAAGCTCAACATTCAGAAAACAAAGATCATGGTATCTGGTCCCATCACTTCATGGCAAATAGATGGGGAAATAATGGAAACAATGAGAGACTTAATTTTTTGGGCTCCAATATCACTGCAGATGATGACTGCAGCCATGAAATTAAAAGACGCTTGCCCCTTGGAAGAAAAGTTATGACCAACCTAGACAGCATATTAAAAAGCAGAGACATTACCTTGCCAACAAAGGTCCATCTAGTCAAAGCTGTGGTTTTTCCAGTAGTCCTGTATGGATATGAGAGTTGGACTATAAAGAAAGCTGAGCGCAGAAAAATTGATGCTTTTGAACTGTGGTGATGGAGAAGACTCTTGAGAGGCCCTTGGACTGCAAGGAGATCTAACCAGTCCATCCTAAAGGAGATTAGTCCTGAATATTCATTGGAAGGACTGATGCTGAAGCTGAAACTCCAATACTTTGGCCACCTGATGCAAAGAACTGATGCATTTGAAAAGACCCTGATGCTGGGAAAGATTGAAGGTGGAAGGAGAAGGGGACAACAGAGGATGAGATGGCTGGATGGCATCACTGACTCAATGGACATGAGTTTGAGTAAACTCCGGGAGTTGGTGATGGACATGGAGGCCTGGCATGCTGCAGTCCATGGGGTCACAAAGAGTTGTACAAAACTGAGTGACTGAACTGAACACTAAACAGATTTACAGATTTTATATACTCTCCATCAAAATCTCAAACTGAGCAGCTCATCCCAAGTAAGAGTCACATGGAAATACAAAGGATCTAGAATAGTCAAAAAAGAATCTTGGAAAAGAAATACAAATTTGAAGAACTCATACTTCTCACTTTCCTAATTTCTACAGAGCTACAATTATCAAGTTTTACCAACACAAGGAGAGACACCCAGAACAATGGAAGAGAATAATCCCAGAAAGAGACTCACACAAACATGCCCAACTGTTTCTGACAAAGGTGTAAAACCAATTCCCAGGAAAAATGATCTTGTCAACCAATGGTTCTGGGAGCTACTGCACACTCACATGGCAGTACATCTGACCTAAATCTAACACCTTACCCAAAAAATAACTCAAAATGGATTATGAAGCTAAATGTAAAAACTATAAAAAACTTTTGGGGAAAATGAAACAGTAGAAAATCTTTTGGACCCAGGCCTAGGAAACAAGTACCTAGAGACCTGATACTAAAAGCATGATCCACAGAAAAAAAGCTGATAGACTGGACTTATTTAAAATTTACAAGTACCCTACTAAAAGGATGAAAAGACAAACTTTAGACCGAGAGAAAATATTTGCAAACCACATATCTGACAAAGAACTAATATTTAGGATATATGAAGAACTATTGAAAACTCAGTAGTTAAAAAAAAAAAAAAAAACACTCCAACTGGAAAATGTGGAAAAGACATCAACAGAAAGTAAAAAAGTGAAAAGTGAAAGTCTGAGTCGCTCAGTCATGTCGAACTCTTTGCAACCCCATGGACTGTAGCCCACCAGGCTCCTCTGTCCATGGGATTCTCCAGGAAAGAATACTAGAGTACGTTGTCATTCCCTTCTCCAGGGGATGGATCTTCCTGACCCAGGGATTGAACCTGGGTGTCCTACACTGCAGGCAGATTCTATACCATCTGAGCCACATCAACAGATGTTTCACCAAAGATTTACAGATGGTAAATAAACACATGAAAAGACATTCAACATTATCATTATTAGGAAACTACATTAAAAACCCAATCACTATACACCTATCAGAATGGCCTAAACACAAGTCACATGCCAAATATTGGGGAAGATATGAAGAAACCAGGTGTTTGTTCGTTTGTTTTTAAAAAACCAGGTTTTTAATACATTGCTGATACAAAAGGAAAATAGTACAGTCTCTCTGAAAACTGTCTGGCAGTTTCTTACAAAAGTAGGCTTGTAACTACCATACAACCCAACAATAACAAACACTCCTAGGCGATATCCTAAAGAAATAAAGACTGTGTTTACAAAAAAAAAAAACCTGTACAAGAATGTCTACAGAAGCTCTATTCATAATAACTTAGATGATTTTTAATAAGTGAATGGTTAAACTGTGGTACATCCCCACCATTGAACGCTACTAACAATTAAAACAAATGAACTATTTACACATGCAAAAACCTGGATGAATCTCCAGACAGTTATGCTAACTCTAAAAAGTCAACCCCCAAAGGTTACATATTATATAAACCCACTTATAAAACATGCTTGAAGTATTACAGAAATAGAAACTGGATCAGTTATTGCCAGTGGCTAAGGAGAGAATAGGGACAGGACAGAACTATGTCTGGCTATAAGAGGGCATCTTCAGGAATCCCTGCAATGATGGGAGTGTATCTTGACTGTATCCAGTGTTATATATCTGAGTGATACTGAACACAGTTTTGCAAAATATTAGCAACTGAATATTGAAAATGCTGAAAGAAACTAAAGAGTATACAAGATGTCTCTGTATTGCTTCTTATAATTTCACCACAGGAATCTATGCTTATCTCTAAATAAAAAGGTCATTGTTTAAAAATGATGCTATAGTGTGTTCTGTATATATTTTTCTGGTTGTATTTGTACATAAAATGGGTTCCTGACTACATATTTAGATATATGTATCTGTGGATGAATGAGATTTTAGGTGATTTCAATTTTTTACACATTTATTTGTACTCTTATTTATCAATAAGACACACAAATGACTTTCCTAATAAAAGAGAGATTATTCTTAATTTTTTAAATGTGCTTTCTATGAAATACGAAACACTGACTTAGAAGCACTACACATAACATTGTTGTTGTTATTCAGTCACTAAGTTATGTCCAACTCTTTGCGACCTCATGAACTACAGCATGCCAGGCTTCCCTGTCCTTCACTACCTCTTGCAGTTTCTTCAAATTCATGTCCACTGAGTGGGTGATGCCATCCAACATTTCATCCTGTGTGGCCCCCTGCCCTCAATCTTTTCCAGCATTGTGCACTGGTTATGTAAAAACTGGAAATTAAAATAAGTTATATCTGTTCTGAAGAAAAAAAGAGTGCACTGAATAATACAGGTTCAGTGGAAGACGAATTAATCTTGAAACAAAGTATTATTTTAACTACTTACACGATAGGCTGTGCTGGTTGGTGGGTAACAGGAGCTGTAACATAAGCAGCAGGAGCAGGCTGTACTCCCATCATCCCTGAACCATCTAAAAAGAAAACAACACATTTGTGTCAGAGTACTCACTTAATAACTCTTTATCCCTAAAGGAAAAGTCACATACTGAAAATGCTACCTAAGGGAAAAAACCCACATTTCTTTCTGAGTTAAGGGTTAGCAAAGAATAATGCAAGAAAACATGAAATAGCTATTTCTCAAATCTAGATAAAAAGGAAATAACTATGAATTATAACTGAGTTTTAAAGTAGAGCATTTACTAAATCAATAAATATATAATACTGGAATTAAGGTGTGTTTTTTCTCATTGATATATTTTTCTTGCACAGAAACCAATTTTCCTGACTGGACAATAACGTTTATCCCACAGATAACTTACAATAAGCAAGACCAGGATCCAAAGTATTCCTGGCCCCATAGAAATAGTACACGTCATCATAAGGAGTTCGGTAGTTCGTAGCCAAAGGGGGCAGCATGGGAGGTGGAGGCAGAGGTGCAACTCTGTACCAATAGAAAATTGGGAAATTCTTCTCATATTTCATTGCAACTTAAAAAAAAAATCAAGATATTATTCTTTCACAAAAATCTTACTGAAAATCTAATTGCTACTTTAGGAAAAGTCACCATCTTACTCCAATCTCATCAAAAATTATAATTCAAAAAGAAAAAATATAAAATTTCAGAATTTAAGGTACCAAAGTTACTCAACAAGTATCTAATTTGTCGCCATCTGCCAGTATTGAACAAATATGGTCTCTGTCCCTCAGAAATAATACAGAAATAAAACAGCCATTATAGCAGAATACAGCAAATGAAGGGGTTTCCCAGGTGGCACTAATGGTAAAAAACAAAAAAAAACCCGCCTGCTAATGCAGGAGACATAATGATACACAAGTCCAATCCCTGGGTTGGGAAGGTCCCCTGGAGGAGGGCCTGGCAACCAACTCCAGTATACTTGCCTGGAGAATCTCATGGACAAAGAAGTCTGATGGGCTACAGTCCATGGGGTTGCAAAGATCTGGACATGATTGAAGCAACTTAGCACAGCACATAGCACAGAGCAGATGAAGCAATACAAGGAGACATGGGGTGTTAAAAGAACAGGAACATTTAGATTATATGGAGTAGGAACATTTAGATCACATAGAGAAGAGGAGGAAGTATAAGGAAGGCTTTCCAGGAAAGGCAATGCTTCAGCCACGCTGCCAGAGTGAATCACAGACAAGGAGGATACAAGAAGAAAAGGCAGAGGTACAGAATGGGATTACAAGTGGTTTCATGTGACTGAGAGAAAGGTGTATTTTTTTTAACTCTAAAAATGTATTGTTCTTTCAAAGGAATTAAACTATAATGTGAAAAAAAAACTACTTAAATATCAACAGTAAATTTTTGACTTAATTTTCAGCACTTCATAAAGTTAAAACTTCTGAAAATGGCTGTATCAGCACTTCATTAATGATTAAGAAGTGTCTCTGTATTTCCACCAAGGCAGTATTTTCCATTTGGTAAAAGGTAAAAAGCAGATTCCTTTAGATGAACAGAAAGAGAAAGGAGGCATCCTAGAATGTCTTCACATTTGAGTGTGTATCTTTGGTTCTCCTTTGTATACTTCAAAATAATTCTGAAGAGCTGAGAAGGCATTAAAGTTCTCTTCAGTCATGAATACTCTTCACATTTACTAAGCATTTATGTATTTAATCTTACTGTCCTCACTCTGTAGATATAGCAACAAAACAGCTGAAAAATTACTATAAAAGGAAACTTTCAGTATCATTAAAGTTTAAATTTTTAGAGATTTATGGAAGATTTAATCCTCATAACAATCCTCTAACTGTAGATTAAAAAACATACACACACTCACACACACATATGTATGTTACTATTCTACTTCTACAAGTGAGAAAACTGAAGTTCAATAAAAGTATGGTTTGCCCAAACTCCAGGCAGTGAAGCAGCCATATTAATCCCTAAGTCAATGCTGATATCATCATACCATGCTCTGTAATTTCAATCCCACCTAGCCTTTTGAGTCGGGAAGCCATCAGATGAAACAAATCAAACATCTGATAAATACAGTAAACATGGTCAAACAATTTGTTAGCAGTAAATAAAAGATGATACCAAGTCATACTGAAGGAATGTATAGGCCAGAAAATATCAATGTTAAAAAGGAAAAACACCTGATTAAATGCAATCTGTCAATTAATACATTAGTAGTGAACAAAAAATAAGCAAAAATCCTACTGAGAGAAGAAAGTACAGACCAGAAAATACCAATATTAACAAGATTTTCTTTATGTTTAGTCCAATATAGTATGATGCTTTTTACCTATGACATTAAATTTTTACCCTAATACCTAAATTACAGTTTTTATAATATCAACACTTTATTTCAGATACTTGAGTTGCATAGCCTGTAAGTAATCACAGAGAAAGAGTTGAAGAAAACAAACTAAAGTAATATATATAAAACAGTCACATTAGAAACTTTTTCTGCATTAACTGAAGGAAGTATTCAATGTTTGCCAAGTGGAAATCACAAAATTGAAAAAGTCCAGGTTTTATATGTTAAGATATTAAAAACATACATTCTAAAATATGACCTAAAACTAAATACTAAGTGTATTTAGTTACACATTTTAAAAATACTGAAGCATCTTTAAACAATAAAAGAATGTTATAAGAATTTCCCTTGTTTAACAGAGAAAAGATCAACAATGAAAAAAAATTCCAAAAGAAATTATTTGACAAAATCCATTAACTGTACGAAAATCTCTGAAGGATACCATCATCTGCTTCAGCAACTACTTCTAAATATAAAAAATAATGATACCTTACCTAATTCCCAAACACAAAACATTTTAAACAAGCACCTGGGAGGCACCATGTCACCAAGAGTGCTGCTGAGTCCACTGTGCACATCTTCGTTCTGAGATGGGATGGAGGAAACTGATGGGATGGGTGGGACAGATGGGGCGGACAGAGGAGGGAGAGGTGTCTGGAAAGCTACTCTGGGTCTCTCAGGTGGTATCGTCTCTTCAAAGTGTCTTGGTGCCACACTAAACTGCTTTAGTCTATGAGGCTAAAATAAAGAGAAAAAATCTGTGTGTCACATGTCATCATAAATTTAAAGGTGGAAGAGATCTCAAAAGACCCTCTGTCCCAGACTGCCAGCAGGCACTTAAGTTAGACACAGAGCAGAGACAGAAAAGTTTGGGATTTCCCAGGTGGCTCAGTGGTAAAGAATCTGCCTGCCAATGCAGGAGACCTGGGTTTGATCCTAGGGTTTGGAAGATCCCCTGGAGGAAATGGCAACCCACTCCAGTATTCTTGTCTGGAGAATCCCATGGACAGAGGAGCCTGGAGGGCTACAGTCCATAGGGTCACAAAGAATAAGACACAACTGAGCACACACAACAGAATTTTACAGCTATAAGAGATTTTTAAGATCCAATTCTTATTTTATAAAATGAGTAACCGAGTCTCCATGAAAGTACATATATCACCTAAGGTTTCACCATTAATAAATAAGCAAAGACTAGAGACAGATATTAATTCTAAATATAAAACTCTATTATACTACAACACTATGCTGCTTCACTACTCTCAACTGTCTTCAAAGTATTCTAACATTAAAGTTTCTCTACAGCAGAGTGAGCAAACGTTTTCTGTGAACAGCCAGTTAGTAAACATATCAGACTTTGCAAGCCACCTGATCTCTTCTTAAATTCTAAAGTAGATCAAAACAGTATATAAGTAAATTAGCGAGGAGGGTGTGATGCAATAAAACTTTACAAAAACAGGCAGCAAATGGATTTGGCCACAGGTTATATAGTTTGCTAACCTCTACTACAGAACATCATTTAAGTGCCCTTTTCTAAGATCTGCACATCAAAAATAAATGCCAAAGTGATGGTCTAAATAACTATTACATGTAACATTTTTATTTATTCTCATAAAAAGCAACTTGACACTCTAAAAATTGTTTAAATATAAATAGGAAGATCCATCAAACACAAAGGTAACTATAAATGTGAGGTTTAACATGCCACCACATTACATTAAAAAGTTCAAGTTTCTAAAAGGAAATTCTTGACTGTCAAAACTATTTGGAAGGTATTTACTGACAGAGGAAAACATATTCAGTTTTGGAATTCATTCTTTTTTCCTAGCATTTTTAACTTCTCAAGAATGATTTCTCAGATTAATCTTAAAAGTTTTACTCTATGAGAAGTCAAAAACCACACTAGGAGTGATACTGGTACAGCATCAAACTTTTTAAAATGAAGAATCCACAGGTTATATTTAGCATAAGAAAAAGTAAGACAAAAGTTGCCTACAACAGAGTTATTTTCAGTTGCTGTATTCTTTTTAAGAACAAACTTTTTAACGTAATCTTTTTTTTTAAATTTTTACCTTCTAATCTCCTTAGAATATTTTGGCTATCTTCCCACGCCCCTTTCATCTGTCAATTCTCAGCTCATAATCTGTTTTTTTTTTCAGCTTTTTATTTTTTTCATTTATTTTTATTAGTTGGAGGCTAATTACTTTACAATATTGTAGTGGTTTTTGCCATACACTGACATGAATTAGCCATGGATTTACATGTATTCCCCATCCTGATCCCCCCTCCCACCTCCCTCTCCACCCGATTTCTCTGGGTCTTCCCAGTGCACCAGGCCCGAGCACTTGTCTCATGCATCCAACCTGGGCTGGTGATCTGTTCCACCCTAGATAATATACATGTTTCGATGCTGTTCTCTTGAAACATCCCACCCTCGCCTTCTCCCACAGAGTCCAAGAGTCTGTTCTATACATCTGTGTCGCTTTTTCTATTTTGCATATAGGGTTTTCGTTACCATCTTTCTAAATTCCATATATATATGTGTTAGTATACTGTAATGGTCTTTATCTTTCTGGTTTACTTCACTCTGTATAATGGGCTCCAGTTTCATCCATCTCATTAGAACTGATTCAAATGAATTCTTTTTAATGGCTGAGTAATATTCCATGGTGTATATGTACCACAGCTTCCTTATCCATTTGTCTGCTGGTGGGCATCTAGGTTGCTTCCATGTCCTGGCTATTATAAACAGTGCTGCAATGAACATTGGGGTGCACGTGTCCCTTTCAGATCTGGTTTCCTCAGTGTGTATGCCTAGAAGTGGGATTGCTGGGTCATATGGCAGTTCTATTTCCAGTTTTTAAAGAAATCTCCACACTGTTTTACATACGGCTGTACTAGTTTGCATTCCCACCAACAGTGTAAGAGGGTTCCCTTTTCTCCACACCCTCTCCAGCATTTATTGCTTGTAGACTTTTAGATAGCAGCCATCCTGACTGGCATGTAATGGTACCTCATTGTGGTTTTGATTTGCATTTCTCTGATAACGAGTGATGTTGAGCATCTTTTCATGTGTTTTTGTGCCATCTGTATGTCTTCCTTGGAGAAATGTCTGTTTAGTTCTTTGGCCCATTTTTTGATTGGGTCATTTATTTTTCTGGAGTTGAGCTGGAGGAGTTGCTTGTATATTTCTGAGATCAATCCTTTGTTGCTTTGTTTGCTATTATTTTCTCCCAATCTGAGGGCTGTCTTTTCACCTTCCTTATAGTTTCCTTTGTTGTGCAAAAGCTTTTAAGTTTCATTAGGTCCCATTTGTATATTTTTGCTTTTGTTTCTAATATTCTGGGATGTGGGTCATAGAGGATCTTGCTGTGATTTATGTCAGAGAGTGTTTTGCCTATGTTCTCCTCTAGGAGTTTATAGTTTCTGGTCTTGCATTTAGATCTTTAATCCATTTTGAGTTTATTTTTGTGTATGGTGTTAGAAAGTATTCTAGTTTCATTCTTTTACAGGTGGTTGACCAGTTTTCCCAGCACCACTTGTTAAAGAGGTTGTCTTTTTTCCATTGTATATCCTTGCCTCCTTTGTCGAAGATAAGGTGACCATAGGTTCGTGGATTTATCTCTAGGCTTTCTATTCTGTTCCATTGATCTATATTTCTGTCTTTGTGCCAGTACCATACTGTCTTGATGACTGTGGCTTTGTAGTGTAGTCTGAAGTCAGGCAGGTTAATTCCTCCAGTTCCATTCTTCTTTCTCAAGATGACTTTGGCTATTCAAGGTTTTTTGTATTTCCATACAAATTGTGAAATTATTTGTTCTAGTTCTGTGAAAAATACCGTTGGTAGCTTGATAGGGATTGCATTGAATCTATAGATTGCTTTGGGTAGTATAGCCATTTTGACAATATTGATTCTTCCAACCCATGAACACGGTATATTTCTCCATCTGTTTCTGTCCTCTTTGATTCCTGTCATCAGTGTTTTATAGTTTTCTATGTATAGGTCTTTTGTTTCTTTAGGTAGGTATACTCCTAAGTATTTTATTCTTTTTGTTGCAATGGTGAATGGTATTGTTTCCTTAATTTCTCTTTCTGTTTTCTCATTGTTAGTGTATAGGAATGCAAGAGATTTCTGTGTGTTAATTTTATATCCTGCAACTTTACTATTCGTTGATTAGCTCTAGTAATTTTCTGGTAGAGTCTTTAGGGTTTTCTATGTAGAGGATCATGTCATCTGCAAACAGAGAGAGTTTCACTTCTTCTTTTCCTATCTGGATTCCTTTTACTTCTTTTAACTATGGATAGATCAACTAAACAGAAAATTAACAAGGAAACACAAACTTTAAAGGACACAATGGACCAGCTAGACCTAATTGACATCTATAGGACGTTTCACCCCAAAACAATCAACTTCACCTTTTTCTCAAGTGCACACGGAACCTTCTCCAGAATAGATCACATCCTGGGCCATAAATCTAGTCTTGGTAAATTCAAAAAAACTGAAATCATTCCAGTCATCTTTTCTGACCACAGTGCAGTTAAAATTAGATCTCAATTACAGGAAAAAAATTATTAAAAATTCATACATATGGAGGCTAAACAACACGCTTCTGAATAACCAACAAATCATAGAAGAAATCAAAATGTGCATAGAAATGAATGAAAATGAAAACACAACAACCCAAAAGCTATGGAACACTGTAAAAGCAGTGCTATGGGGAAGATTCATAGCATTACAGGCCTACCTCAAGAAACAAGAAAAAAGTCAAATATATAACCTAACTCTACACCTAAAGCAACTAGAGAAGGAAGAAATGAAGAACCCCAGGGTTAGTAGAAGGAAAGAAATTTTAAAAATTAGGGCAGAAATAAATGCAAAAGAAACTAAAGAGACCATAGCAAAAATCAACAAAGCTAAAAGCTGGTTTTTTGAAAAAAAAATAAACAAAATTGACAAACCACTAGCAAGACTCATTAAGAAACAAAGGGAGAAGAACCAAATTAACAAAATTAGAAACAAAAATGGAGAGATCACAACAGACAACACTGAAATACAAAGGATCATAAGAGACTACTACCAGCAGCTCTATGCCAATAAAATGGACAACTTGGAAGAAATGGACAAGTTCTTAGAGAAGTATAACTTTCCAAAACTGAACCAGGAAGAAATAGAAGATCTTAACAAACCCATCACAAGCAAGGAAATTGAAACTGTAATCAGAAATCTTCCAGCAAACAAAAGCCCAGGACCAGATGGCTTCACAGCTGAATTCTACCAAAAATTTAGAGAAGAGCTAACACCTATCTTACTCAAACTCTTCCAGAAAATTGCAGAAGAAGGTAAACTTCCAAACTCATTCTATGAGGCCACCATCACCCTAATTCCAAAACCAGACAAAGATGCCACAAAAAAAGAAAACTACAGGCCAATATCACTGATGAACATAGATGCAAAAATCCTTAACAAAATTCTAGCAAACAGAATCCAACAACATATTAAAAAAAATCATACACCATGACCAAGTGGGCTTTATCCCAGGAATGCAAGGATTCTTTAATAACCGCAAATCAATGTAATACACCACATTAACAAATTGAAAGATAAAAACCATACGATTATCTCAATAGATGCAGAAAAAGCCTTTGACAAAATTCAACATCCATTTATGATTAAAACTCTCCAGAAAGCAGGAATAGAAGGAACATACCTCAACATAATAAAAGCTATATATGACAAACCCACAGCAAGCATTACCCTAGTGCTGAAAAATTTAAAGCAGTTCCCCTAAAATCAGGAACAAGACAAGGGTGCCAACTCTCACCACTACTATTTAACGTAATTTTTAAAGAAATTAGTTTCTTAAAGATGAAACAAAAACTTGCCCTAGCAAATAAATTCTACACATCTAACTAAAAAAAAAAGCAGCTTTTGAGAAGAGTAATAAATTATTACCTTCTCCTTACTCAACTGCAATGATGTGTATAATTCATTCCAATTATGAAAATTTAAAAATTAAAGTAATATAAGGTTATTACCTCTAGATTTACATTAAGTAAAAATTACTAAAATGCTTAAAGACTAGAGTTTAAGAATTCAGTTTCTCTGGAAACCCCTCTAATACAAGAAACATTATCAAAATACAATGAAAATTAACATTCATTTTATATTAAACTAAAATAGTGCACGAAAATAAAGTGAAAGGACTAATTTATAAGAAACTTTAAAAATACATATATGAAAAGGGAAAAATTATCTTAGAGAAGTAAGCAAGAGTTAGGACTACTGAATTTAGTTCATTACTGTTCAGACTTGTCTACTCTTACATTTTCCCCAACATGCTCTGTCTCTACCCACCACTACATCTGAGCCTTATTTGAATGAAAGATTAAACATTAAAAGATGGCAAGAACTCTTACCGATTTCTCAGGGTCTTGTGCTCCAGAAGCTGCAACCCTGAGATCCAAATCTTTTTCTCTAAACAAAATTAAAGTTTTATATATTACAAGGTTATAATAAACAGTATCAAAATCATAATCATTATTGAAACAAACTTATGAAGCCCATGCAATGACATCTCCAAAAATAAATAGTAAATAATTTCTTTAATTAACAATAAAACCTTAAATAATTCTGAAAACTAAATTTTCTGATTTGGTGCAAAGTAAACAAGCATTTACATGCAAACTGAGTTGGAATAAATATCTCTAAACCAATGCCTGGGATACTTCAAAGTCTAAGCAATTTACACAGAATAAAGAAGTAAAACAAAGTCTTTACTTAATAAAACAAATAAAAACTTCTTTTAGGGTACATGTATATCTTCAGTTCACAAAAGGGAGGATAAAAAAATTTTAAATTAACATGATACTCTCCAGTAACAGTGTTCAAGAAAATGATATTAAATATGGTTAATACCAGACAACAGATACTGGCTTCCTCTAAGAAAAAGGCAAAACTAAAAGGTGACAGGTCTCAAATTCTCTAGAACCAAAATATCTATCCCTAATTTTAAACTGAAATTATTATTTCAGAGGTCTTTCTACATGAATGAGTATACACTCTGAGTGTTGTATACAATCTACATATCTGTGGATCTGTCATGATTATTTTTATATGGCGTGTACACACACATGTGCTTACCATTTCACTGTTAAAAGACAAAACACTTTTATACTTGCTACTATATATGGGATAACACAGTGGGCATGTAGATAACATTAAATGCTTCCCTAAAATTGAAGAATTAATGAGAGTATGTACAAGGCCTATTACAGAATGAACACACAGTCTCTTTTGTTACCTATAATGAAGAAAATGATCATCCTCAAAGTATCTGTTTTATTACTCTGGCTGATTTATAATGTGGAGACTAAAATAGAATGATTTACAAACACAGAATTGTATTAGGAAAAATATTCCCTTATTTTACCATGTAACAGTTACTACCATGTCATTTTAAACAAACGTATTTAAATTCAAAACATCTTTGTTAAATGCAAACCTTTCATTACCGTCTCTTGTTCCTCTGTTGTTCAGCCATTTGTTCCAATAGCTCTTGTCTATATTTCTCTTTCCTTCTCTGAATAAGTTCTCGATCTTCACCCCCTAGAAAAAGGTAAAAAAAAAAAAAAAAAAAATGCAGTCTTAACTCTGAAGTAACACATGTAACTGCAAAGTCAATTTTTTAATTTCATTGTAATTATATCAGAGTATAATTATTACATATGCAGCAAATATAGAAGGTAAAATCATATGTATCATTACATATTCAATTTTAGTTTTATAATTTATGAATAAGTACTATGTGTCAAACACAAGGCACATTAATCCTTCCCAAAATTCTGCATTAGTCAAAAACTTTCTTTTTTTTTTTTTGTTTTAAAAACTTTCTTAAATAAGAGTAATTTCTATTGCCACTTGCCATAAATCAAGATACTATCTCCAGTAATATTTCCCACAAGCCCCTTAAATTTAACAAGTGTGTTCAAAATGGACATCACAAAAGCAACTGCCCCTTTGTTTTCTGTTAGCAGCCTAATAATTGAGCCTCAAAATCTCACTATAACTTTGCTATCTCATCCTTTCTTATTTATTTCATGTGAGGCCCCTCTTCTCTACTGTAATGGCCATCAACCTTGGATAGGAACTCTACATTTTACCTGAATTGCAGCAATAACCTCTTAACTTGTCTCCAGAACTTCTTCCCTCCCTATTCTAATGCATCCAGCACACTTATGTATGATTAACTGTCCTAAAATACAACACTAATCATGATGACACCCTGCTCAAAAAATTCCAATGGTTATTTCAATTCTACAGGAAAAAAATATGCAAACCTTTTACTCTGGTGTCACTTACATGAAAATCCAGTCATGCAAAATCCAGAAAACTACACAAATTACAGGATATCAAAAATGCAACTGAACCAGAAACTTCTCTACTACCTTAATTATTAGTTTCCTTTTGTCCATTAAGCACAGATGTCAGCAACACTGAAGTTCCCATAAGGTAATATAAATTATGTTAAGGTTAATAATAATGGTTTACAATCAAAGTAGACATGTCCATTCTGCTTCTGATCATGATGGAATTAACAAAGCACAAAACTCAGCCTCCTTCCATTAAAAAAAAATAAAACTAGGCAAAAGATATGAAATAACTGTTTTTCAGACACTGAACGACAGGTAGCACATGTAATACCTGAGAGAAGGTAAATAAATGTGAGCACCTTTCAAGCACCCTCCGTTTCTGCCTGCATGCAATCTTCACAAGTATAGGGAAGGAAAAAATTTAACATGGGAAACAGCTAAATTGAGCAAATAAAGGTCAAAATTTAGGAAAGCTAAAGTGGCTAGAAGTTTGGGCCAAAGACTCAAAAAGAAGAGTAAAAGGGCTTTGGAAATCTGTAAACGGGTTCCTCTGAACTTTACTGTGAACTAGTCAGTGTATGCAGAGTGAAATTCCATTAGGCTGGGTAAAAAAAATACAGAGAACCCATAAACTGAATTCACAGACCTCCTCCAATGAAGTGGGGAGAAATTTAAGCTCCAGCCACCTAGACTGGAGTTCTTGGTGATCCTTTAAGAGTACTCAGGGAAGAGGAGCAAGCAGGAAAGCTGCTCTAGATATTCCAGCTGAGTTTAAAATAAGGCCTCAGAGAGACTGGTCCTTAGGTAACAGAAAAACATGAATGTGGCAGACAAAGTTCTCAGACATATCTACATTCTTTCTCTGCCTTCTGGTGCGAACTTCCTGTATAAACCTTCCCCTGAGTGTGGCAGGACCAATGACTTGCTTCCAGCCAATGAATGTGGCAAAGGTGAAAGGAATCTGCACATGTATTTAATTAAGGCACCAAACCAATTTTGAACTAATTAAAAGGGAGATGATCTTGGGTGGGTCTGATATAAGCAGATAAAAGTTCTCACTGAGTTCAGAGATTCTCCTTGGTGGCATGATAAAATGAGCAATCTTGGTGGAAAAGTCCATGTGGCAAGAAATAAAGGCCTCCAGGAACTGAGGACAGTGTTTAGCCAGATACACAGTAAGAAGCCAGGGACCTTAGTAATGCAGCCACAAGAAAATGAATTGAGCCAAAAATCTCAATGTGCTTCTTTCCCTGTAAGGCCCCAAATGAAAAACAGCCTGGCTGATACCTTATGAGATCCTGAGCAGTGGACCCAACAAAATTCATGTCGCACAGAAACAGATGTGTGACATTTTGACCCACTAAATCTTGCTAATCTGTAATGCAACAATAGAAAAGCAAAACAGTGACCCATAACCGTTAGAAAAGTTAATCAACTGAGAAAAAAAAACACCACAGAAACAGAGATGATGGAACAATGAACAAAGATGTTAAGATAGCTACCAAAACTATGTCCAAATATTTAAGTGAAAATAGTAATATAATAAGAATAAAATGAAACTATTATAAAGAATCAAATAGGGAGTCCTACTTCTGCTTAGAAAGTAGAAAGCCACAAGAGAACACTGTTCATACCCTAGGATAGGAAAAAGCTCATCTACAAAATTGTAACTTTTAAATTAAAAGTCCATCAGAGAGCTGAGATTATAAGCAACCAGGTAAACTGAATTTCAAAGGGTATAAAAACCAATTCATAGAAAGATGGGACAAGACAAGTGTTTTACCTTTACCAGAGTATGGAGAAATGGACAGCAGCCTTAACAGTAAGGAATCTGCCTACAATGCAGGACACCTGGGTTTGGTCCCTGGGTCAGGAAACTCCCCTGGAGAAGGGAATGGCAACCCACACCAGTATTCCTGCCTGGAGAATCCCATGGACAGAGAAGCCTGGCAGGCTACAGTCCACAGGGTAGCAAAGAGTCAGAAATGACAGAGTGACTAATAGTTTCACTTTAAAAGTAGGTAAAAAGAAAATAACTGAAATGGTAATGAATTCTTAAAGGTTTGTGTGGGGTTGGAGTAGCAGCGTAGCTTCTCTGAAAGCCCCAGACACAAGGGGAATCTGCACTCTTGCTGCCTTCACCTGACGCTCATGAGAGGTTGGAGATGGGGCAACCCAAGACACCTGAAAGACAGCATTCCGAGGCAAAACCAACCAACCAACCATTGCCCACTGCCCACATTCCAGACTCTTCTCTCATGTACAGAAATCTATTGGTCAAAGAACAGAAAACCTTGGACCCAGAGTTCTGCCCTCATACAAAGCAAAGGTCTGCTACTGCTAGGGAAGGAGCAGGAAATTCTTACACAGAAGACCCTCCACAAACACAAAGCAGAGTTTGGCTACCACTCTGCGGAGAAGCAGAACACTAAGAAAGACTCATTGCTGAGAACCAAATGCACAGGGCCAGCCTTGCATCGAGGAACAAGCTACAGCAAACCACTGCTGAGCAAGGAAAACTGGCAAGAGAGATCCTGTCTGTCGGGGGCATGCAGGAAAACTGCGGAAGGTACAGGAACGCTGAGAAAATCCCTCCAGGCCCTACACTAAGAACAAGGTAGTCAGGAAGTTAACACTTCTCTCTAAACAAGTCATTAAAGATGTACAAGACATGAACATCACTATCAACCAAATGGCTTGACATTTATAAACTATTACACTCCACAACCACACAATGCACATTCTTTCAAGTACAAATTAAACATTCACCAAGAGACACAAAATTCTGAGCCATTGTTTAAAATTTTACTTAAAAAATTGAATTTCGAAATAACTGAAATTTAAAAATTATTTTCCCCACAAGGCAATTAAACAAGCAGTCAATGACAAAAAGACAGCAGGAAAATCCCCAAATAATGAAAATTTAAAAACATACTTCTGAATGATCCATGATTCCATTATAAACCCCACAATATATTATTTTTGCTCTCAGCAGTCAACTGTCCCTAATTCTTTAAAGAAAGCAAAAGGCTCCAAACAAGATCCTTGGGGAAAAATTAAAGGAAGACAAATTTCAGCTCAAGAGAAATGAGACTATGCAACTATCAGAGTCACCTCAAGTTGGAATGTATTGCCTCTGGGGAGTGTTAGTTTCCTAAGGGGACATACAAATATAGCTGGGGAAGAAAGATCCAACCATGCGGTAAATCACTGAATTAAATGAGCTTAATAGTCTATTCCAAGCAATAGAGTCTATTATCAAATATCAATCTGTAATTCCTGGATTGAATTAATAACAAATTCATAGCATTTATCTTTAAAATTTTAGGGTAGAGTAATCCATTTACTGATAAAATTGTCAGTGGGTTTCCAACACAGAAAAACATTTCTCCAATTTTTACCATGTTTAACAAAAAAGGAATCCTAAGAAGGAAGCCATTACTTTTATTGATAGGTTAAATTGGTCAATTCTCATTTAAAGACATTAGAATAAAACTCTGGGTATTATGCCATTTTTCTCATAATAGCCATTTCAAGGAAACAAAAGTGAGAATATTACACAAATATATATCTCTAAGCCAAAATTTGCTGCGAAGTTTTGAAGGCAGGATTGCTGGGAAAAATTGAAGGCAGGAGGAGAAGGGGACGACAGAGGATGAGATGGTTGGATGGCATCACCAACTTGATGAACATGAGTATGAGCAGGCTCCAGGGATTGGTAATGGACAGGGAAGCCTGGCGTGCTGCAGTCCATGGGGTCGCAGAGTCGGACACGACTGAGCGACTGAACTGAAGCCAAAATTTAAATTAGTGATTGATTTTAGGTTGGATGAATATAAATTGCATTCTTATACTACAATTTCTTCATATACTTCGCTGAAGTAGAATCTCAGGCAATTTTTCTAACAGATTTACACAAAGAACAGACAACTTTTCTACTTAAAAGTTACACACAGGAAATATTCTCTCTTCACACCATTTCTGAAATTAAATGTAACAAGTTAATACAACAAATCAACATGCTTAAACAATGACCTTCATTTCTGACAAAATAAACAGAATATCTGGATTATAATCATTATTGACCAAAACACTTTCTCAGAAACTAAGTGGAAAGAACATGGGAAAGGATTTTATCAAGAGATAAAAAGGTTTCATTCAGGAGAACTAAACTAAAATGTACGGCACTTTTATGCTAGCTAAAGAAAAAGAACCAAGAAGAAAACTATTACATATAAAAAAGAATATAAGAAACAGCAACACTACAATAAAGTGAAATATGAATTTTAAAGATTTTACTGAACTTAATACTTCATTTATCATCTACAGAAAGTTCATCACTAAATAAAAGCAATTTAGCTTTAAAATTATAGACAGAGCTATATAATACATGCTAAATGTTTAGAATAGTGCCTATCACAGAGTAAGCACTAGAGAAATTTTTCTACTAGTAACAGTGGTACTAATTGCAACGCTGAGTGCTCACTAAAGACCTTTTATAAAACACTCCACAGAAATCTAATTAACCGGAGGCATGTACACACCAAAGAGCATTCCCGCAAAAGGACTGCACGTCTCTCGATTAGTAGGTTTGGATGGTTCATTGTCTCGAGCACTAAAAACAAAAAAACAAAAAGAATCAAGACTCAAACAATTTTCAGGAAAAAAAGTTAAAGTGAAATGTAGGTGTGAGTTATTGGCCTTTCAACATACTATGGATATTACTAACGTAACAGTTTTTACATGTTTTTAAAATAAAGGTAAAAATCATGGCATTTTATCTCTTTATACAGTGAGACCCCAAGGCATTCAGGGGACCCCAAGGCATTCACATAAATATGTGAACCTTTTTCTTCAGCCAGCTTCACTGACTCCAGACTCCCAATAAAACCCTTTTTCATAAGAACAGTTAACCCAGTAAGGAAAATGAACATAAGTTCACACAAATAAATCCTAAAAAAAGAGGATATCTATACCACCCACACTCTGAAAAGAAGATCATCTTTAAAAGAAACTCCTTCCTTGAAAGACAGAATCAAGGGGGGGAAAAAATAAAGACAACTCTTTCAAAGTAAATTTAATTTGACTCAAATAGAAAATCCAAATACAGATAGACTCAAAATAGACAACTTTCCTGACACACATTATCTTCATTATGCACTATAAATTCAGAACCACTTATGTACAACACAAGAAAGCCACCAAAAGATAAAAAACTATAGAAAAAGAACATGAATATAAAATGCATATAATTTCCTTTTTTACCCAATATAACACAATTATGTATGAGCACTAATTTTAAAAGTAAGCAAAAATGTTATCTACTCATTGTTGAAAATGATAGTTTTGAAAAGAAAACTCATATTACAAGAACATTTTCAATCTATTTCAAGTTATGTCCCCTCCATAACTCCAAGATATTTTAAATTGATCTTTGATCCATTAAATTATATGCTTATTTCTCCTTTCATTAGTTCAAATTTATAGATTTTATAATGATAGGACTCAGAACACCTTGGCACACTTTATTATCAAAACTTGCCCTTCAAGAGAATGCTGTAAAGTACCAAAAAGTTTCATATAACACAATTCTTCCCTCCCCTTCTTTCCCCTAAATCCTCTCTCACTAATAAGCAAGGCTGTTAACATACTATACCTTTCTAGTTTTCCAGCAAACCAGTTTTAGCAGTTGCTGTTTTACAGTGCAATGGCTGAAGGGCAGAATTTATATTACATACTATACCTTTGATTTCCAGCAGATGAAATTCGTATGTTTGACTCTTCTGTGACATCACCATCATACTCCATAGGAGGCTCATTGCCTCGTCTGTTCCCGTACATCCTTAAAAACATATTAGCTTATAGAGCTTGTTCCACATACAGTGGACTTCTCTTATCTTTCTTTGGTGATTTTACATTTGATGTTGGAAATATTAAAGGGAACAAAGCGTTATAATGAAGTTTTACTGTAAATACATTTGAAAATTAACTCAAATGACATCTGACAATATGATCTGCTGGTTAATGAGACACTTAAGAGTTTAGATTCAATAGTCTTTAAAACAAAGGGAGATCAATTATAAATTATTTCAATATAACTTCTAGAAAATCTTAATATTAAAAATATGAAAATACTAATAAGACTTTTTCATTATTCAATTAGTCAAAGAATATTTATTGAGCACCTACTACACGCCAAGTACTATTCCAGGCACTGAGTATGCGCACCGGTCCTTGCTCTCATGAAGATAAGTCAAATTTCAAAATGAGATCTTTATTTTACATCAGAATTCACAGATTCTGAGAATTATTTCACTGCATATACAAACCTTTTAACTTACAAATACAGCAGCAGTCTTACTATGAAATTAAACCAAATGTAGCAAGCCACAACATTTGCTAACACTATAAATCACATGAAATACTAAATAATACCCATAGATGAATAGAGAACATTATAAGCAAATAGGCTGATACATGAGTAGAAAATGATTAGTTCATTTTACTCACAATTTCATGAACAAGAAAAAGGAAGATTAGAATTTTTTAATTTATTTTCTTCTTAAGAATTATTTCCAGAAAATGACTTTTAAGTGTTTTTAAATTAATTTTTTATTTCCACTTGGCAAACAAGGATTCCTTGAGCTTAATTTCTCACATCAAGAAACCAACATGACTTTTATCAGCACCCACGAAAATCAGCATTTCATAAGTCATATTTCTTTGCATGGCTGTTAACAAACTATAATCTCTCTCATGAGGTCAACTGGTAAGAAATATGATTATTAAAGTGTTATTCAATAATTTAGGTGAATTTATCATATTAAGAAAAAGCAATTTTAAGAAGAAAAGGAACTTATCACTCTCCACAGAGCCAGCATGTAAAATCTTCTGTTTCCATCACACTTTTCAACATCCCCTGTGGAGGAAAGACTACCCAGAACTGTAACCTGACTGCTATGTGCACTGTGGCAGAACAGACATATGGTTTCCATTTTTTATCCACATCTAAAACAGAATCCTCCCCAATCCCTTTCAAAACACAATTTCAAATTATTTCAATTTATCAAAACACAGCTGATTTTATATCTAAAGCCAAAGGACTCAAATCTCTCTTTTAAACTGACACATCAGTTTACTGTTATTCCTTACTTCTACCACTTAAAGAACAGGGATATATAAACTTTAAGTCAGCTTTGTAGTTAATAGTGCCAGGCAACCAATTTAGTTATACTGCATCTATACAAACACACATGTGCAGAAAAGCATAAACAGCAGGCCTGAGACCACCACCCTTAACACAGGACTGTTTGCAAGAATGGCCCTTAGGTGGCACCTGGGAACACAGACTGGGAGGAGTCCACCATTCTCAGAACTGGCAAGTGTGACCCACTGTGCCTCAACTGTTTGTACAAGCAATAAAGTTTATGCTGAACTCCTGCTTTTTCTCAGCAAGTGTAGAATTTGGGCACATGCTAGGAAAAGGGTGCCTACATGACCAGCCCCCAATAACAACATTGGGCAAAGAGTTTCTAATGCACTTTCCTGGTAGACAACACTTCACCCCTGTTTTCACACTTTGATACTGCAGGAATTAAGCATGTCCTTGGCAGGGGGCTCTTGGAAGCCTGCTCTTGGTTTCCTTCAGACTTTGTCCATGCAATTTTTTCATTTGCTGCTTTTACTGTGTATTCTTCCACTATTAATAAACCACAGCCATGAACATAACTACATACACAAAGTGCTGTGAGTCCTAGCAAACTGCCAAACCTGGGGGTGGTCTTACAAATCCATAACACAACAGACAGAAGTGAATTAGTTAACGTGACAAAGCAGAGCATATACCGGTGAAAGTATTCAAATATAGAGACATTTAAAGTTACACATTTTAAAAGACATAACTTGGGATTAAATCAGAATTAACCAGAATTAAAGACTAAGACATACAAAAATTCTCTATAAAATCTATCGAAAAGTTTCTGGCTTCCTGTATTTTCAGTTGTCTAAAAACAACATTTGGACTTGTAATTGTGCCTTATCTTTATACAGTTGTCCCCAAAGTACAGGCTTCTCTGATGGCTCAGTGGGTAAAGAATCTGCCTGCAATGCAGGAGACACAGGAGACGTGAATTTGATCCTTGAGTCAGGAAGATCCCCTGGAGGAGGAAATGGCTACCCACTCCAGTATTCTTGCCTGAAGAATCGCATGGACAGAGGAGCCTGACTACAGTCCAGAGGGTTGCAAAGAGACATGACTGAGCCATTAAGCACACCCAAAGTATGCTATATTTAGCACATCTACAATGTTTTATCAGCTCTTCAGTATATAGAAACATATCTTAATAAAGCAAGCTCCAAAAATGCAAATGAAATTTCAAAGATCATTCTAAATTAAATTTAAGAAATGATTTTATGCATGCATAAGGTCAAGGTCTCTGCTAAATTCTACAGTAAAACCACACAGATTTCCTAACAAAAAGACTATATGAAAGATACTTCAAAGTATACCCTTTCACTAAAGAAAAAAAATTAATTAAATCATAAAAGTCCCCTTCTGTCACTTACTCATAATGAATTCAAGACTAGAGAAATATTTAAGCCAAAAAAGAACAAAGATATGCATTTCACTAAATAAAATTTCACTAATAAAATAAAATCTTAAGACATCCTACTCAATTTTATGAAATGACTGATGACATGATTGTGCTTACTTTGTTAAATCAAGGAAAAATTACTACTTACAAATAGAGATTCATAAATATTTCTTAAATTACTAACACAAGACCTTTAAAAAAAAAATCAAAGAAGCAAACAAAAAACCTAGAAAGCAACTTAACAAGCTGTGAAGTCAAATTATAGTTTGGAAAGTTAACCACCTTACTCATTACTAAAATGTCCCTATAGTTATAATAGAATATCCTTCATTTATTGAACTCTCCTTCATATTTACAATAAATTTAGCATTTAATCACTCTTAACTATCCCAATGAGTTGGCTTTAACTGCTTTTATGAGGCTCTCACAATTTACTCTTATTTTATTGAAGCAAATAAAGTCCCAAGACAGGGGAACTGGTGAGAGCCAGCAACACTTTCACCATTTGTATCTTATCTCTTCAGCCCTCTTCACATTAAGGGGAGACTGACAGATAATAAAATCCACAAGTAATGAACTCATCAATCATCTAAGAGCAGCCTAATTTTATTTAGATCCAGGGATTCCAGTTAGGGCCAGTAAGTTCCTTCTGTTTAGTGATAACTTGGGAGCCAGTTCCACATTAAAACTATCCCTGTGACCCAGAACTAATTTATTTAAATATTCTACCACCTTTGATCCACAGGTTCACTTACCACACCTCAAGCCACTGAGGTTTTTTCAGAAAGGGACAGATCTCATAAAAGGAGAACTTTACTTCCTTTGACATATCAAATCAGATTTGACTGAGGGAATAAAATAATTACAAAATATTTCACTATCTTACTATCAAAAAAAGTTAAACCTATGCTAAATGGAAAAAGCTTTTTCTATTTCCTTGAAGACATGGGTCAGTAATTCTAGGTAATTAGGTTCAAATTTCAAGGCCCAAAGAAAACAGGTATGGGCTAGAGGCCAAATTTACTCTAAAAATTAGCATGTTTATCTTTTAAAAAATATTATTACTCTCTTACAGAAGAAAAAGCAAGTTGTTTAAAACCACAAGTATTTTCAGCTAAGTTAAATGTGAATGAACAATTTCTAACTGATGATAAAAAACATTTTTCATTAATAAACCACAGAATCAAAAAACTCCTTAAGGAATAAGTTTACAATGTTTATGCTATCAAGAATGACATAAAAATAAAATATTTACCACCTGTTGGTCCTGACACAGCTTACAGGGAGAAAGAATCAAGTTCCTCCTTACTTAAATCATAAAATTCATAATGGTTACACCAACTATTTGTTTTCATATCAAAAATTTCTCTAATGTGAATGAATTCTGCTAGGGGGACTCTCAACTATAGAAATTATAAGAAAACTACTGAGCTGTTAAATGTCGGTCACTATTTTTCTCCTTGTTTTCTGTTCTTCCAATTTTCATATTCACTTTAATTCAATAATGGGTTTCTCTAATATTGATCCCATCTTTAAAGTGGTGAAAACGACATAAAAATGGTCCTTCCAAATAAAAAGTAACTAAGGAAAAAAAGTAATACTATGTTTAATAAACTCATGTTCTAATAAGCCATTTCTCCTCATTTATATCTTACATATTAAGCATGCACATTTAAAAGTGTCCTACACTAAGCAAGCACTTAGTCTATTGAGTCAGATTCTAGCTCAGATTCTAATTTCACATGAAGCATAATTTCAGAATTTTCTTAAATGAAAATCACAATTACAAACTAACAAATTCAAGTTAAACTGGAAGTGCTAACTGCCTTAGTCACATAAAAACTTTAAAAAAGAAACATTTTTAAGGCTAAAAATTTCCTTTACCCATTACATTAACATTGGTTGTAAAGTAAAACATAATAAGGTAGTATACTAACTTCTACAGCTCAAGTTAATAAATAATAAAGACTAGGATGACTATCTTTTTTAAAAGCATGTAAAAGTTTCAAAGTATTATAAAACAGTATTATATTCAACTTCAGAAAGCTCCTAAAACATTATTAATTTACTTAAATTGGTAAATATGTATCAAACGACACACACATACACACACAGTGCAGCTGTCAAGCTAATGCTAACCATCTATTACCTATTTTAAAACACTGTCAGTGATTGATTAATTTAAGAAAGTAAAATCATTCCTGGGCTTTATCTTCTGATATTTAAAGTGAGGGAAATATTTCATTAATAAATACATAATGGTATATGGAAAAGTTAATAGGGTGATTAGAAAAGAACTAAGATTAAAAACCTAAAAATAAAAAACTAGAATTCACTGCATGTTGACTATTCAAAGGGAAAAAAAGAACATGGGAAATTTAGAAGTATGAAGAAGAACTTTGTACTTCTCACAATCAGCAGTGATTATTTGTTTTCAAGAAGTTCTGGTTAAGTAGACAGTAAACCAACTATGCACTCCAATAAAATTAATTTAAAAAGAAAAGAAAATGACCTGCAGAGCCAAACAATGATTACAATATATAATCAACCCTCGTATCTGTGGGGGTTTCCCTGTTGGCTCAAACGCTGGTGAAGAATCTGCCTGCAGTGCAGGAGACCCAGGTTCAATCCCTGGGTCGGGAAGATCCCCTGGAAGAGGGAATGGCTACGACTCAAGTATTCTTGTCTAAAGAACTCCATGGACAGAGGAGCCTGGCGGGCTCCAGTCCCTGGGGTCGCAAAGAGTCAGACACAACTGAGTAACTAACACTTTCACTTTCTGTATCTGTGGGTCCTGCAACCAATCTCAGATAGAAAGTATTTGAGGGAAAAAAAATTACAGAAAGTTGCAAAAGGCAAAACTTGAATTTCTTGCAAACAGGTAACTACTTCCACAGCACTTACAACTCTTCACATAACATTTACATTATATTAGATATTATAAGTAAACTAGAGATGATTTAAAGCATAAGGGAAGATGTGCACAGATTATAAGGAAACACTACACCACTTTACCAAAGGGACTTGAGCATCCAAAGATTTTGATATCCCTGAGGTATCCTGAAATGGATCCCCCTTGAATACCAAGGAACAACAGTTTCAAGAATAGTTAAAGCAAGAGACCAAATAGTGGTACACATTTCTTTAGTCTCAAAAATTTCACTAACAAGCAAAGTCATTTTTCCTAGCAACCATTCTGCCTGCTAAATAAATCTAGTGATCAATGTGAAATCTTTTTTTTGCGGGAAAGAAATCTACAAATCTGAAATACAGAAATCCAATTTTAACCTCAACTGCCATTGAGACATATGTGAAAAACCTTACATTTAGAGATGTAAAAGATTACACAATAACAAAATGTATAATAATGATTCACATTTTTAAGAAATATTGTTAAAAACATTAATATATATAACAGGAATTAGTCTCACTGACCTATATATTTAATCTAAACTACTGCTTGGGGAAGATTTTATGTAGAAATTTCATTTCATTCGTGGGATACATAAGAAAAAAGATTGCTCTCAAATTGGGCTGAAATTGATTTGTTAGTTCATGTAGAAATTATCATAAGGTATAATTACAAAAGTAATAGACTAAAATATGTTAAAAACAAAACAATCATCACAATAAGTTTTTTGAAATTCCAATCTTAAAAGGTATATATTATACTCTAAACATAAACTAACACCATTAGGAAAAAAAGTTCTCATGTACAAGTTAAGGCAGTACCAAGAGTCCAAAAATATCTGTATTTCCCCAACTGAGACTTCCTGTAGTTCAGGCAGCCTTTGACGACCTCCAGATATAAATATTTTCAAATATAACATGTCACAGAATTTGGAGCATTTTCTGAAGTACAATTAGATCCAAACAAGAGATAAACTATAATTGACATTACAAAATTCTAATCCTTCAATCAGATTACCTGAATCAGAGTGAATATGTTGTACAGCAGAAAACAACAGAATCTAGTAAAGCAATTATCCTCCAATTAAAAAACTAAAAATTAAAAAAAAAAAGACTGTATATGAGCAGACTGTAATAACTACAGAATAAACAGCAAATGAAAAAGAACTGCAAAGGCTTTGTATGATTATTAATAATTAGAACAATAATCATGTAGCATTATGTCTCAGAAAATTCTCTAAAATATTAAAAAAAATAATCTATTTGGATGAATGAATGAAACAAGTCCCATAAACTGTTCAATATTTACATTTAATCCCTACAGGTTATCTAGTCAATGAAAATATCAGATCCTATCATATTTCTATCTCCAAATAAAAAGTTAGATTAAAGCACACTTTGAGTATTAAGGCAAATGACTTAATAAAATAAGACCCCGTTGTAGCAATTAATAAATTACAAATAGTGTCACAGAAACAACATCCAAAGGAACTGAAAAGCACCTAAAAATCTGATCAAAAATAGTAAGTGCCATTTCACTTAAATAAATGTTCAATAAGTAACTTAAAAGCAAAAATGTTGATCAAAGTACTTAGAGCATAGAAACATTAAAGGAATGAACTGTATTTCATCTATTTTTCTCCCCCACATTTTAACATCTGAAACTCAACAGCCTTGAATCTGGCTGTAAGTCAATTATTGCAAGGAGAAGCTATTTTTCTCATGCCAGTCACCATGGCGCCCTATGGGAGATAACTGAATTCTCGCCTCAGGGTTGTTTCAGACAATGCTGCTAAGTCACTTCAGTCATGTCTGACTCTATGCAACCCCATGCAACCCACTAGCCTCCTCTGTCCCTGGGATTCTCCAGGCAAGGATACTGAAGTGGGTTGCCATTTCCTTCTCCAATGCATGAAAGTGAAAAGTGAAAGTGAAGTCGCTCAGTCATGCCAAACTCTTAGCAACCTACCAGGCTCCTCCATCCTTGGATTTTTCCAGGCAAGAGTACTGGAGTGGGTTGCCATTGCCTTCTCCAGTTTTGGACAATACTGCAGCATAAACTCAGACTGAAAACCTGATACAGTTCAAATTCTCAGGGAAGTTCTTTTTAATTCCCTCCACTCAGTGCCAAGGTTGAGAAGTGGAAGTTTCTTTTCTGTCCTTTCCTGTGGGAAAGTTTATTTCTCTTTTAATTTTATATTTACCTAAGCTGTAGCCTTTCAGTGTCCTAGCTTTTTAATTGGGTCCCTTTTTCCTTATCATGGGTTTTTTTCTTTGTTCTTCAGTGACACATAAATTATGGTATAAAACTGATAGCATCCTAAAATTAATCAAATATGTACATCAAATGAAATAGCATCTAACAATGATAAAAAGTAACAAGAGTAATATTAAGCAAATAAAGAAAATAAAAATGAAGTTGTAAATACCTGTCTTTTGTATAAACTCTCAAAAGTCTTCTATCAAAATCACTTTCATATCTAAACCTCTCATCCATGTCTTCACTTACTTCTGGATCACAGCCTGGTCTGTAATACTGTTTATCAAAAGCACGATCCTCATTAAACCTGTGAAATCTTCTGTCTGGAATGTCAGTCTTGCTGTCAAATCTTTGATGTTTTTTATTGGAAACGCCCACTTCTTCATCAGTTTTTTTAATGACTCTTCTACTGTTCCTTAATTCAATTTCATCATCTAATTTTCGGTACCTGTCCTCTTCTAATCGTCTTTGGTTTAGAAGTTCTTCATATGCCTCTGAAGGAGTTAAGACATCTTTTCTAGGACCCTCTGAGTTTTCGAAAGATGACTGTATTTGTGAAGGTAAATCAGGTTTAACCTGACTGATAGGTTTTTTACTTCTTTGATTCTTCTGCTGGTTAATAAAAAAAAGAAGAAAAAGATCTTAATGAGATGCTATTTCCTAAATGGTAATTAAATTCTCAAATGATGCTTAATCTATTTACCATCTCAACTCAAAGACTTAATCACCCATAAGAAATATCTTTTCTTTAGGAAATAACTTTCAAGGAAGTGTTATCCTTTAATAAAACTTAATAAATACAAAATAAATAGGCAACAATAATATGGATAGATGGTTACAAAAAGAGAAGATAAACTATCCCAAGGAGATTTTACACATATTTTGGCAGTTAAATATTGGCTCAGAATATTTCAAATTAAATGCCTTCTCAACACAGAGAAATATAGGATACAGTAAATTTTTCAAACACTCTTAAATTTGGTTATATTTCTTTACATATATATGTATATATATACATATAGCTAGAAATTTGTCAGTACAAAAAAATCACTTCAAAATAAAATATAAACAAACATTACTTAAAACCAATCTCTAAAATTAAATCTCTTCCATGAAGTTAAAGTTAAAAACCAGAGTAAGTTCTTCAGTATGAGATAAAACCATTTACAAAATTAAATCTCTCTCCTGTGTTTGGTTCAGTTTGGCTTAACTTTTTAAATATTTATATAAAAACTAAGTGAAATGTTTAATAATATAAAAATATTTTCAAGTGAGTACAAATATTCAGCATATGGTGGTAAAGATTTATTTAGAAGCAAAACCTACCTCAGTACTCTTTTCTACCTGTCTGAACTTTTCAGTGGATTCTTCCTTATCCCTGAGAAATTGATTGTATTCTTTGTTACGTTCAAGTTTCAACCTTTCCTTAAAATAGAAAGCCAAAAGGTAACGTTTAAAAAAAAAAAAGGCAATGTTAATTTCAACATTAGGAAAAAGTACCTAACAGTCAAATCAGACTCATACAATTCAGAGATCCTACTCAGCATCAAACTTTACTAGTAATGCCAAAGGCAGGAATAAGGCACAGGAGATGCAGGAAGAGATCAGAGACCACCAGGGCAGTTCCCCTTGTCCATTCTGGAGCCACATTAAAATAAGGTTTACTACATGCTTAAGTTCCAATTAACACATGAGATCTCTAACATGAGGGCACGGCTTTGATTTTGAAACACCTACATTTTATACTCCAATAGTTACTTGACTTAGATGATACCTTCCTAGGAGCTGTGACCAGTAAGTCCCTGAATTCTAGGTTTGTTTACCAACAGCAATCCTAGAGAATCTCGGCGCATTCTGCCAAAAGGATTTATACATAAATCTCTTCCACCAGGAAGTACACGAATGTGTTTGCCAGTAGGTCTGTCATTAGCATGTTTCCAAGACTTGACCGGGCTACCTTCCTACTTTCCTTCTCAAGGATATCTCTTGCCTCCAATTCCTCACACCCCACCCTTTGAAAGACCTGCTTCTATCCATTTCCTTCCCAAGTTTAAGGAAAGATCTTTGTTCTATTTAAAACATACAAACATAAAATTATCATAGTAACTAAAATGTTATAATATGAATGTTCTATTGAAACGTAAGTATGTTGTAGTAGGAAATGTTCTTAAGACCCAATACCTTCAACATCATTGAAACAGTACAACCTAAAAAAGTTTTGCAAGAAGTGAGGCTGTCTTTTGAAACTTACTGTCCTTTTGCCTCATATACTATATCATGATTCTGATCTAGCTTGGGAATTTGAATATTTACAAGAGGAATACAGTGCTTAATCACTACCCCCTGTTAAGATAATATACATTTATTTGTGATAGGAACACATATTCAAATAGCCCAAAAGTCACCTATATAAAAGCTCAGTATACTCTCATCCACTCATCTCACTGGTAACATTTTTCATATACCATGAAACCAATGCTTTAAAAAATGAATTCTGAATATTCAATTAATCAATGTATTAAAGGAATATAGCATATTACATGGTTACAAATGTGACATTCCAAAACATTTTTTGAACAGCACTAGAGACTCAACAGATTTTGAAAAAAATCAAGTATGGAAAATGACGTAAACTTGTTTGCATTTAAATCAAGAGTATGCTCTTTCATGATTTTGATGCCTCAAGAAACTGCTATCCATAACAACTATTCCTATCCACCTACCTTAGCAGACAACCTCTCACCAATAGGAAGAGAAACTCCCAGAGTAGATGGATCTGTTTCACTCGTGGATAGAAAATTTTTCTGTATACAGACACACACATTAAAAAAATACATTACCTAACTGCCTTTATAAAATGTTTCATAAATGTGCTTTACATTCTATTAATATAGTCTAAATTATTACATTATACAGAGCAACAGAATGAAATGGAGATGAAGGCAGAAACTACAAATGTGTGAAGACTATACCAAAATTAGAAAAAAAGAGAATTTTCTAATTTTTCTGCAATCAATGGACATCTATTTAAATGCCAGAAGATATAAACTATGAATGTTGTTTCTTTCTGAGCCTCTCCATTCCTGTCCACTAAGCATTTATGTGATGCAATGTGACAGACAGCGCATAAGACTAGGAATCCAGAGGCCTGGGCTCTTGGACCAGCTACAGCAATTCCCAGCTGTGCTACCCTGAGCAAGTCGCCTAAGCACTCTTATCCAGACTTTCTCCTGTAAAACGAAACTGGAATCTATTCTGCCTTAGCAAAGCTGCTACAAGATCAAGAAGGATTTAAAAAATGTAAAATCTCTTTGAATACCATAAAACAAACACAAGGGATTTATAAAAAATAAATACAATCCCCAACTTTCTGGTACTGGTGCTGAGTAGTCATATAATCTGGAGAAGTTACTTAATTTATCTGCTTCTGTTTCTTTGTAAAACAATAATAATAGCATCTATATTATTAGGTAATGAGGATTAAATCAATCAATACTTATTAACCTAATTCTATGACTTTTCTGTATTTATAAAACAAACAATCTAATACTTTTCTGTTACTTTTACAGGTGGTAGGGAGAAAAAGATAAGCATATGTTCCCTATATTTAAGAGATTTATAATTCAAATGAAGAAACAAACATGGAAACAAATAACTACAATATAATGTACCACAACAGAGTTACACTCAAAACATCATGGGAACAAAATAATTGATAAAACAGACTAATCTGAATTTAGAAATAAGCTGTGCTACAAAAGCTAATTTGAAAGGTGGTTATATAAATTCTAAGCTTATTTGTTAAGAGAAACAATTTGACACATGACTAGATACCTGAGTCAGTTTGATCCCTATATACCAAAGTACAATGTAAACCTAGTCATTTTGTAGTTACACATGTATCAAAAAAAAAAAAGGAGTTCCAATTTTGAGCATAGAGAGATACTGCATCCTTATTCCTTCATTAAGCCATGCCCCACTCCAAACACGGGCCCAGGATGATGTTTGTACTTTTCAATAAAATGAAAAAAATTAATAATAAGGCCGACACAGTGAACGTTGTTGAACTTTAATCATTCACTCATTCATTTAGTAAATATTGAGGGCCCAATATGTCTACACTGTTTGATACATCTGGGACTTATCAGTGAAGAAAACAAAAGATCTTTGCCTTCCCAAAGCTCACATTCCAGCAGGGAGAACTGACAAGAAATGATAAACACAATGAAGAGTAATTCTACAGTACGTTAGAAGGTGGTAAGTGCTATGGCCAAAAAATAAATAAATAAAATGAAAAGAACAGTTGACAGGTAGCCTACAGGCTTCTAGGGGATGGGAATCGAAAGACTGGAAATCTGGAGTTCCCTTTTTAGACGTGCTCAACACAAGATACCCACTAGATTTCTAAGTGAAAATGTAAAAGAGTTTGAGGTTCAGGAGAGAGGTCTGGGCTGAAAATAATTTACTGACTCAGTTTAAAAACTTCTCCTGAAAATATGTTCTTTTTGTGTTTAGATGGCCAAGTGTTTTTTATTCTAAAGACTAGAAAGAAGATGGTAGTTAACTGTTTAAGTGGCTCTTGGCAGAACTTTAAGATTTGATCATTTTTTTAAGTTAACACTCTTGCCAAAGTCTGGAAGCCACAAGAAATCCAGAGAGAATGGGACTTGGAAACTGTACATATTCCAGGGGTCAAGGAAGCCATGGCAGCCTACATAATTTTCTTTTTCCCTTGCTTTCCTCTCCACTCCCGCCTTCTCAGATGTCAACCAAAAATTGTCTTTGTCATATTAAGGAACTACTGTTCCTCTACCACAACTATATTCTTAATCATCTAAGGCCAAAAATTCCTTCACAGCCCTTTACATTTAAAAATGTGTGCTCCTTGATTCTTCTCTTTCATAAAGGCAATTTCTTCTTATACCTTACATTGCCATTCTTTTTTAAAAACGTTGTGTCTATAAAATAATGCAAAATCCACAAGTGAAAGTGGTGGTGGTTTAGTCGCAAGTTTTGTCCAACTCTTGCGGCCCCACGGACTGTAGCAGATACTAAAGGAAAACCTCACCCAAAGAGCGGTAAGGAAGGGGAGAGGACAATGAGGCCCAAGGCCAGGGAGGCAGGCTGGATTGTAATGAGACTACTCATGTCATGCTAAGGAACTTTAATTTTTATCCTGAAGGCAGAGAGGAGACACACACAGAAGGATTTCAACTGGTAAGGGACAGGATCATGCTGGAAAGTAGCATGGAGAATGGACAGAGAATCAGAGCAAGGAGATCATTCAAAAATCTGGAGGCCTTTCCTGATCATGACAGTACCTGCCTTGTTAAGAGAGTTATCACTGTCTGAATTGTATAAATGTTATCTCTACAACTAGATTCTAAGCCCCTTGAAGACAAAATTCATACCAGATTCATCTCCATGACAAGTGTTTAAAAAGTGTTGGCTGAAAGATAAATGGACGTGTGAGATTCATTTTAAAAACAGTTTTATAAAATGTTTTCTTCATTTTCCAATATAAGTTTGCAAATGTAATCCACAGGTTTGGGAACCAAAATATTGAGTAATCCAGACTGACAAAAATAGTTCAAAAATATCTTAGAATATCTTAAATATTCTGTTGTTTAATTAATCTTAATGCGACTAGTACAATTATAATTATTTTGAAGAACAAAAACGTGCATGCTGAGAACAAATGAATTTACAATAGCTATAGAATATTTCTAAAGGATGCATAAGAAAGCAACAAAAACAAATGCAAAGCAGGAATCAAAAAGAATGCTTGATTGTACTAATGGAAATGTAAGATGTACAGACTGTCATTTTGCTAAAAGCAAGGATCCAAAATGGTGCCATTAAAAAGTCTCTGAATCACAAATGAAGTTATTTTTATTAGTTTGTGAACAGCAATATCATATATGCAAATAATCACAAGCTACCAGATCTAAAACAAAACAGTAAAGAAGAACATTTTGCAGGCAACCCTACCTTTCTTTTTGCTTGTGTAATACCCTAAAGTCAAGGGAAACAAACCATTGGTAAAATGTATTCAAAGTCCTTTCTCTCTATGTTAAATCAGAATAAATAAGAGATGATTCATACATGTGGAATAAACATTACAAAGTAGAAAGAAACTAAAGACTCTCTTGGGATGACTAGAAACATCATGACTGTTTTAGATACATTTATAACCTAGTAAAGTAAACTATATTTTAAAACTATAATAACTAGTTTAGTTATCATATAATTTAACAAAAAATACTTAAAACGAGAGTTCCAATAAGTAAATAGATTAAACCATAAAGCAAAACCTGATGGTTAAGGAAATACGCTGAATGACGTTTTATAAGCTTAGTTCTTAGGAAAATAATTAGAAACTAGAACTCGACATGTCATTTTAAATCATGGTTGAGGGGAAGAGAGTAGTAGCTGTGCTATTTCACACCATGACTACTTTACAAAAAACATGAACAAGAATTTACAGTCTCATTTAAAATTAGAACCCACTGCCCTCCTTAAAAGGTCAAGAGTCTGTGTTATTTCATGGCACTAATTCTCAGAACTATTTTTTTCTCTATTAATGTCATATATATCACTTAACTTTCACTACAGTACATTGTTAGGTACCCCTAAAAACGTAAATATTAATGTACATGACTAAAAAATCTTATGAAAATAAATTCAGGAGGCAAATTCTAAAGCACAAAACCAAACGAGTTACTAGAACTCATTACCTGAGTAAGATAGCGTCTGTAATCTTGTCGCAATTCTTCTTTCAGCTTATGTTTCTTCTGTTCATAGTCTTCCCCAAGTGGTAAACTTAATCCATAATCAATTCCTAGAAAGAAAACAACTTCTTAAGCAATGTAGCTCACTGCAACCCAATCTCAATTTCAATGCAATGTCCTGTAACAAAGCACAGTAGGAAGGAACACAGTCATGTGGATTCTGAGACTTGGATCAGGATAATAAATTTTTTATGTGAAATGTTTCAATAGGTAATACATTCAAACAATGGAAAATATCCCTCCCACCCACTTTTCCCGCCCAACACAGTGTTAACAACCAACACTGCTGTATCTGGGTCTTCTTCCAGAGGTTTTTTATACATCTATAAAAGGTATCTTCATAGTACTATGTGTGGGTGTTATATTTAGTTCTTCCACCTTTTGATAGATGGCTCTGCATGTTTTCCATCTTTTTTTTTTTTTTTTGATGTGGACCATTTTTAAAGTCTTTATTGAACTTGTTACAACACTGTTTCTTCTCTATCTCTGGCTTTTTGGCTGCAAGGCTTGCAGGATGCCAGCTCCCCAAACAGGGATCTGTTCCCACACCCCCTAGATTGGAAGGTGAGGTCTCAACCATTGGACTGCCAGGGAAGTCCCTGCCATCTCGCTTTTTGAAGGACAGCAAAATTAAAGCAAAGAAAAGCCAATTACCTTTACTTCTTCATTTAATTCTGCTGAAATTCTTTTAAAATACCTACAACAACTTTAATATGTGTCTTTTAGTCTGTGAAAATTAATCATGTGATATTCTGACATAGAAGAATATGTGTCGTAACAGTTTTTTAATTGAAGGATAGCTGATTTAAAATGTTGTGCTAATTTCTGCTGTACAGCAAGGTGATTTAGTTACACGTATACACGTGAAAGTGAAAGTGAAGCTGCTCAGTCACGTCCGACTCTTTAAGACCCCGTGAACTGTATAGTCCATGGAATTCTCTAGACCAGAATACTGGAGTGGGTAGCCTTTCCCTTCTCCAGGGGATCTTCCCAACCCAGGGAGTTTTTCATATTCCTTTCCATTATGGTTTATCACAGGATATTGAATATAACATGTCTGAAAAAACTGTTAGGCCATGCATGGTTTAGGCTGAAATTTCCAAAAAATTTTAAAGTTGCAAATTCTGATTTCATATAAATGGACATTAATTTTTATTGTGGTAAAACAAACATTTTAACCATTTTCAAGCATACAATTCACTGGTATTAAGTACATTTAAAATGTTGTACGATCATTACCACTACCCATTTCCAGAGTTTTGTCATTTCAAATAGAAATTCTATAAAAGAATCTTAGTTTTCTAAGAAAAACTTCCATTTTGAGTAGGGCTTCCTTATGCAAGAGTTCAAAAATCGAATTACATCTTGGGGTGATGACCATAGCGATGGCCGCACAACTTGTAAATACAGTGAAGACCACTGAATTGTACAATTTAAATGGGTAAACTTTATGGTATGTAAATTATATCTTAATAAAACAGTTAAAATCAAATATATACTTTAAAAATATTTTTAATACTAAAACACTATGTCAAGCACCAACATCACGTAAGCGTTTCCATTTCTGAAGCCTCTTTCACTTTTTTAGTCCCACTGAGTGAGTGAGTGAGTGAGTGAAGTCACTCAGTCATGTCTGACTCTTTGCAATCCCATGGACTGTATCCCACCAGGCTCCTCCCTCCATGGGGATTCTCCAGGCAAGAATACTGGAGTGGGTTGCCATTTCCTTCTCCAGGGGATCTTCCCGACTCAGGGATTGAACCCAGGTCTCCTCACTGCAGGCAGACGCTTTAACCTCTGAGCCACCAGGGAAGCCCTTTTAGTCCTACTAGGCAATACTAAAGTATAAAATATTATTTCTGAACAAAATAAATTTTTTCCTCAAAGTCAGCTACAAGAAATACAAGTGAAATAACTGACGGTAGGTAATATATCAACAGGAATATTACCATTTTTTCTGCCTTATTCCTCATAATGCATCTAAATGATGGAAACTTTTCATGACTATGTCATATCATTGTTGTGTTACATCACTAAAATGTTCCAGGATCAAAAATAAAACCAAAGTAGTATAAATATAAACGAACGTCTATTGATTTTTATGTAATACTGAATTCCCCTTTCTACCATAAAAACCCGAATTCTCTTCACAAACACTCCTGGCCTACTTCACTCCTCATGACCAGGGTATAACAGAGGACTCCTTAAAGACACCTCTTACTCATGCTCCCAATTCTCTTCCAAAAGAATCTAAAGCATTCCATATAAATTCATCTGAGAAAGACATTCTTTCCTCACAAAGAAAATTTACAAACCTATTCTCAAAGAGACAGAATTTAAGCCTAAAGAGAAAAATGGTTTGCTTTTCACATTCAGAAAGGAATTTCAGACATGAACTTAGAACTATAAAATCCATAAACGCACAGTCCATGCTTTATTCAACTTTACAATAAATGTGTAAATGAATATATGAATGAATGCCTAAGTAAGAGAAAGATCAAGAAGAAAAACCCTATTCTTAGTATTTCATTTCTGCTTTTAGGAGTATGATTGCATAGAAAGAGTAAGCATAATGACTAGTAACCAGAGTTATTAGTCTCTAGTTACACAAGGTCACAATGGATGCACTATTGTGTCAAGGAGGAAAAGAAAACAGTGCTACAAGGATGATGCCCCCCAACATGCTCAGCTTTCCTACTCAGCAGAACAAGTAATTTACAGCTTTTTAAGTCATGTATTTAAGGTGGCTTTTACTGCTCATTTCCAATTCTGCTTTGTAGGTTTATATGAAAGAAAATAAAGAAAAATATGGTTCATTTTCATCTATAGTTACTATTCATATGAAGTTTATCCTGAGTATCTGCTTTTTACTATTGATTCAAATAGTATTTGTATTAACTGTCTTAAAAAAATGAGTGAGTATACATAATGCCTTCAGAATTATTTAAAATTTTATTAACTAAATGTTCAGCCAACAGAAAATACTCACTTTTTAATTATTTTTATCTGGTACCAATATTTTACAATATTAGAGGTAGGTCACAGACACAAAATTAAGAACTGTATAGAACAATTTAAACATTCTGTGCACTTTAAACTAAGTATTAACAACAGGATCCTAACTGACTTAATGAACTGAGAAATATGGTGAGACTTACTTTTTCAGGGCAGCTGTCTTCTGATTGTTCCAGGGGCAAGTAAAAGCATCAGTGTCACCTTAGGGTCAGTTGAAGTGATGTCACTTCACCAAATACAACATCAGTGACTCTAAGTTAACATTATGCTTCAGAGCTAGAGCAATTCAAAGTATCTGGTTTCCATAGCAGGTATGGGTTAAATATTTAAAACAACAGTGTGTAATCTTTTTAAAATTAGTTTTCATTTTCCAACAGCACTCATAGTAGATACTTTACAAATACCATGGAATACTTAGTTTCTTCTTTTCATTATTATATTAGCATCAAAAAGTATTATGTCAAAATAATCAAAGGACAAATTATAGGAAATAATGCTAAGCCTTTCCATAAGCAAGTTACTTATCAAGAGATGCAAATACTTTGAGGAGAACTTCAGCTAAAAGACATTATTACAAAGGACCCATCTGACTTGTACAAACTGCACCAAAGAGGTAGAATGTCTGGGATTTAGCTTGGAATAAGAGAAACCTAAGACTACATATGCTACAAGGAGTGACAATTAAAAGTACTACTAAAAATTAGTAAAATCAATTTATTTTTCTTTTGTCTAATTTCCCAAAATCTTTTTTAGCTTAAACTCTAGAATGACGCTGCAATAAGAAACTCGGCTGTTGCTTCTTTTCTGATATTTTTAAATTGCAGCAATGTAACTTCCCTTCTTTATAATTCTTTTCAAGTTTCCACAAGCACAGCTGTATTTAAAATTTTTTTAAATCATACTAAATAATTTCTAGTGACAAGAATAAAATTTTTTCTTACTTCAATAATCTGCAAACTTTTTGCTTGCAGATTTACCTGAATTCTGAGAATGAAAACTAAAATAACTTTTGGGCATTCCGGACCCTGAAATCAATGGCACTTTGATATGAGTGAGAGATATTGCCTAGAAATGGCGGATGTATAAAAAAATACCGAGGGCCTACAAACATTAAAGATGGATCCTGGAGTATTCAAAGTTTAGAGCTGAGGGAGATAGAAAGGAACCAGAAAAAATAAAGACTGAAAAGGACTGTGTTGGGAGTCTTCAAAGCCATCCTCAGGTTTGGTGACTTGACAGGACTCACAGAATGCAGAAGCCATTATACTCACAATTATGGTTTATTACCCTGAAAGGATACAAAGCAAAATTAACAAAGGAATGAGGCACTGTTCAGGGTAAACTAGGTTCAAACTTCAAGAGTTCTTCCCCAGTGGAATCACACAGGACGTGCCTAATTCCTGCACAGCAAGCTGCGACAGCACACGTGAAGGGTCATCTCCCAGGGAAGCTCCCTCCTCAGTGCCCAGGGTTTCTAATAGGAGCTGGTCACCTAGGCACCCTCTGCTAGTACGTACCAAAATTCCAAACCCTACAGACAGAAAGCAGGTACTCTACATAAACCCTATGGTTTATATAAAGTTTAGGCACAATGAGCCATTCTTTTTATCAGTGTAAGAAACTATTTACAAGCTAAATTCCAGAGAGCAGCCAAAAGCCAGTCTGCAGTGGAAACCCTAGCAGCAGACAGTAACTGGTCCAGGTCTGCCAACAGACAGTAAGGTTCTTTTTAATCTCAAGAGGTCATGGTCATGTCCCTATACTGTAAATGGTGGTATCTTCAAATGCACAACAGGATTTATGCTACTATATACAGAAAAAGAAGAGAGGGTTATACACATGTGTGCAGTCTAGTCATGAAACTGTATACAAGAAACTGCTAAATAACTAGAGGACAATTGTTAGGAGGATCATCAGTTCTCATGCTATACACTTCTATGTCATTTTTTTTTTTTTTACCATGTGCACATTTTCCTTTATTTCTTTAATGAAAAAAAGGGGGGAAAAAACCTTAAATACAGCAATGCTCTCATCATTGAGCCAGGAACTACACTTTAAAAGCAGTACAAAATCTATGGATGTAGAGCCAAAATACACTTACATATGAAAAAAATGTTGAAAGTATTTACTGTATTATTTCATTTATTAAAAATGTCTTCCAGGATATAAAACATCTAAATGAAAGGAATAATCCTCAACCAGTCTAAGGGGAAGTGTTCAACTTCTCTAAAGAAGAGAAAGGATGAGGGGATGATCTTTGACTGAGGTAAGACAGAACTAAATTTAAAAGATTAAAGGAAGCATTTCTCATCAACAATGCTTATGAAACATGAAAATAAGCTGGTCAGAAAGGTTTAAGGATTTTTAAATAAAATAGTAACAAGCATTATGCCTAGAAATGGTTTAGGGAGATGGAAAACAGCATTTGCTTTTACAGATTGTTTTCAGATTTTCTCATAATTTCATTAAATCTAAGTAATTCTAACAAACTCCTTATCAATGACACCATTTCATCAGCATATATCAACCAAGCCATGCACATGCTGTGTATAATAAAGAATCTAGCTAGCCTCTGTCTCTGGGAGGTAACTTCTAAATTCTTGGAATCTTCTGAGTCATGAGATCTTATGTTACTCATAACAGGTTCACAGAACAAACCTCTATGTTGATACTAATAAGGTGACTCACAGTGAGTCCCTAGATGGTTCAAGCTAAAGAGATAATACAGTTGGGGACTGTTCACACCAAAAAGATCAAACATGTAATTGGAGGGTTGGACCTTTGACCCATGTGACATAAGCCTGGCCTCAGTAAAGTAGGAGGTCTGGAGAGAATGAGCCACATGGACAGTGACAAAATCATTCATGCTTATACAATGAAACTCCTGTAAAAATTCTAGACACCAAAGCTCAGGTGAGCACCCTAAGTGGCACTACTCTATACTGTCACCTATTGATGTGCCAGGAGGGTAACACACATCCCTGAGGTTGATGGAAGCTTCATATTTGAACCCTCCCAGACCAGGCCCTGTGTGTCTCTTCCTTTGCCTGGCTGATCTGTATCCTTTTGCTATAATAAACCTGTAATGATAAGTACAGCACTTTCCTGAGCTCTGGGAGTCATCTAGTGAGTTATCAAACTTGAGGAGGTGGTAGAAACAGTTCGTCAGAAGGAAGAATGGCCCATGAGCTCCACACTTGCACCTGGTATTTGAAGTAAGAGAAGTCTTGTATGTTAAGACTTGCAGAAGTCTTAACACTCCTCAAATCCTTTGGTCAGAGGTATAAAATGGTGGAAGAAGGAGCCACATGGATAAGCATTATCCATGAATATCATTGTCTAACAGAAATGAATTTACATAATCATAAAAATGGAGTGGTCCATGACAGCTGTACAATGAGCTGTTTATAGGCTGTCTTTGTTGGCGAAAACAAATATTGCCCGTTTATATATCATTGATAGCTACTATGCTTAATTACTCATTCAAAGTATAGTGTCACTGAGCTTAGTTCAATGTATAAATTTTAGACCAGTTTGTTTTATAATTCCTCAGTGAGATCACTGTGGAAAACTGTTGCCAAGTTACTTTACATTTTTCCTAACATCAAAAATTAAGTATTTGGCCTAATCTTAAGACTACAATTATTCAGGCAAGAAATAAGTAACTGAATGCTCAGAGGTACAAAATCAAATTATTATTCTTTAGAAAGATTCAATGTGCATCAAAAATAATTATATTTCAGTTGGCAATTAAAAAAATAATCCATGAAAATTAAATTCTACACACCTAACAAAACTGCTTCTTTTTGCCATGGGACCTTCATTCATTCAAAATATCTTCTCTAAACACCAAAGTGCCAGACACTGTGTTAGGCAATGAACATACAAGGGCAGAAAAGCTGGGATGCCACTGGGATAAAACAGAGAGCTGAACAAGTTCAAAACTGTTCTTCAAGGGGAGAGCCAGTGTCACAGGAGTATAAGGTAGGAATGTCCAACACAATCTGGTAAAGGTGACAAAAGAGGAAAATCACCATGATGGAAACAAGAAGCCATTGAAGGGTCTGAAATAGAGACTAACATGATCAGATTCGGTTTGGGGGAGGACATCAACTGGCAGTGCAGAGACTTAACAGAGAAGGCTAGATTGTACAACAAAAAGAACACTAGAAAAAAAAAATCTCGGTGAAAGCCAATGGACGCCTACATAAAGTGGTCTCTGTGGAATTAGAGAAAAGTCAACTTATTTGAGGTTTAGATGTTAGAATCTCTGAACTATGTAATTATTCGCTGTGGGATACAAAAAGGAAAAAAAGGTGTCAAAAATGACCACAAAACCAGCTCACTAAAGTTTGAGAGGAGTCAAGTTAATTTTGCACATGTTGATTCTGAGTCCAAGACATCCAAGTACACATGTCATTAAAACATCAGACATATGGGTCTGGAGTTCATCAAAAAAACTGGAATTAGGATAGAGATTAAGGAGTAATGAGCACACTAATGGTAAATAAAGCCCTGTGAATGAATAAGGGATACCAGTTAAGGAAGAGGGAGAAGTCATCCAACTGTTAAGTTGGATTTTAAACTCTACATGATTTGTGAATGTAATAAAGAATAAGTTTTAATATAGTTCTTAAAAATAAAAAACCTAGTTTAAAAATGTAAAAAGTCACGGAAATTAATATTTATTGTCTATCAATAATGCACCAATCATCTTTTCATATGTATTCAACTATTGCCACAATAACCTTTTAAGATAGACATAATTCTTAAGATGAGGAAACATAGAGTTTAAATAATTTATGCCAGGTTGCAAAGGCATGACAGCTGCATTCCAAAGCAACTCATAACTCCAGAAAGTCAGTGATTCACCTTAGTGCTTGACAGAACCTACTACCAAACTTTCAAAAAACTCTCTCTCAAAAGAATTAAATTTTCAATTCATAAAAATTTAGGGCTAGACGATAATCTAACCTCTTTATATTATAAAGAAACTGAGTGCCTTAGAGATTAAGGCACTTAACCAAAATATAATACTTAGTTCACTAAAGCTGCAGGCATGCATGCATGCTCACTTGTGTCCGAATCTCTGCAACCCCTTGAGCTAGCCAGGCTCCTCTGTCCTTGGGATTTTTCCAGGCAAGAATACTGGAGTGGGCTGCTATTTCCTCCTCCAAAAGCTGTATATTAGCCAATAATTTGTAACAGACTTAGAATGGAAAAGGTTTTCTATATATATGATACTAAAAGTATGGCATTCACTTTGAGCTGTTTTTCTAGTAGAGATAGAGAACCCACTAAACTATTCAGCAGTCTTTGGCCAACATCCCCATGTATTCCTAGCAGAATACAAATGCAAAGCAACTAACAACTTAGGAGTATACTCATGGCCATGAAAAGTCATCCACATGAGAATAATGCTTTAACCAAATAGATTAACCATATTTGACTTCTTTAATGTGAAAAAGGTTCAGTTATCATCAGTAATTCACAAGGTAGTTTTAAAATATTCATATATTTTCTTTAAAAAAAACAAATACACCTACCAAAAAGCTAAAATGAGGTAGTATCCCAAATATTTTCACACCAAACCATAATCAAAGACTCAATATAGCCAAATATTAACTTATTTACAATTTCAAAGTAGTCATCAGTAGTATTTTCAATCTTTTAAGCATAGTTCTTTGATTTTTAAATAAAAGCAAGTCCACCATTATTATTCAACAATTAACACACTTTCTCACACAAATTCGATTCAAAATTTTCCCTTTCGATACATACTTATTGCTATGATTTCCATAAATCATAACCAAGACAATAACAGTTAAAATGAGAACAAGTTTCTCGGAATATATTCTATTTCATATGTAGACCACACTGTCACATACAAGATTCCAGAAAGGAAGGAGTTACTAGGATTCAAAAATTGTCTTTTTTATGACAAGACAAAGCTCCTTCATGACAGCCTGCTAAGAATATCTTAAATTCAGTTTAGCACACCTAAAGACATACCTAAAGAACCCCTTGTCTGTTGACTGTTTGGTGGTATGTTTTCCTTAGCCATGGAGATTAATATTTTACTGTTTTCAGAAAGCTTCTCTGATGCTTTTCCCTGAAAGAGACATAATATTTACAAAAGCAGTGGGGGAAAAAAAATTCCAAAAATGTACAATTAATTTCAGTATTTTTAGTAAAACAAAATTTAAGTGTAAGGTTTAAGGAATTACTCAAAGGCATTTATTAGTGCTGCAATGTTCTATTATTTAGTTCACTGACTTATCAACAAACATTCACTGAGTTCCCACCAGATATTGTCCTAGGCATCAAAAACAGGTAAGTGAAGAAAATACTAACGGATCTCTGCCATCACAGAGCTTATAAACTACTGTGATAACAAACAATAAACACAACACACAATTAGATTATATGTAGTGAGTGAGACAGAGGAGAAACAGGAGAAAAAAAAAAGAACAAGTTGTAAGGAGGCCCAGAAATGATAATGGAGGAACTGCAAGGCCTGATTGAGTAGGTGACACTTGACCTAAGACTTGAAGATTATTATCTATCTGCTATAGTATTAGAAATCATAATGCTGCTGCTAAGTCGCTTCAGTCGTGTCCGACTCTGCAACCCCATAGACAGCAGCCCACCAGGCTCCATTGTCCCTGGTATTCTCCAGGCAAGAACACTGGAGTGGGAAGAAATCATAATAAAGCTATATTTAAAGCTATCTAATAACTCTCTCCTAAACCTGTCAGTCCTGAGTACTGGAGAATGGTTAAGGGCATAAAATGTGGACACATAAATACAATCCTGTATGTGCCTGGATGATTTATTTAACCCCTTAAGCCTCATTTTTAGAATCTGTAAAACAAACAAAAATTCTGCCTTCTTCACTGGGATTTTATGATTAAATGCTATCATACATGTAAAGTCCTTGGCACAGCTCCTTGTACACAGCAGGTACTATGGAAGGAAAGATAGTTAAGAGAATAAACACTGGATTCAGGTTGCCAGGGGTCAAAGCCCAGTTCTACTATTCTATCACCTAAGTCTCATACTTAACGACACCTATGTCACAGTTTACTCACTTGGAAAATGACAACAGTACTTATCTCATAGATTAATGATGCGAAATATCAGTGTAACCACTGAAGAATTTACGCCTCATCCATAGTTAATACACAATAAATGTTTGTTATATGAATAAAATTATTTTATAATTATGGTGTCCATGTTATTTATCATTTCCACCAGGATACCTCTGTCCAGGGCTAAACCAGATGAGCCACTGGGACAACAAGAAAACCAAGACTAGACTGTCTTGGGCAAGTCATCATATCTGATTCCTCTAATTAGGATGACCCATATGGCACAGATTAACGTACATCCTGTTTCTTATTACACACACTGAGCCCATGGGAGAAAGCACCACATCTGTCTACACCACGGCTGTATTCTCTGAGCCCAGCACAGTACCCAGCAGTCTCAATAAATATCAAAGCTAAAAAAGTTTTAAGAAAGCCTTTTCAGGCACTGCTTTCAGAAACATTTTAACCGATTTATATTCTGAAAATTAAATACACAAAAGAAACTATCCTTATAAATTCATTTTTGTAGATTTCAAAAATGTTTAAGATACAGATTCATTTTAAAAAAATGAACCTTTTCACAAATATAAGAAATTGCTCTTACATCTATTCTGTTTATATTCTGAAAGTTCCTTGCATTAGAACTAGTCTCCTAATTATGTTAGGAAGCACACAAATTATTAATTAAAACTCTAATAAGAGAGAAGAGAAACTGTGAGGTACAAAACACTACAGAAGAAAAATTGCATTCAAAATTACTGAAATCTTACCCAGGTTCAGGGTCTCAGACTTAGAACAGCAGCACAGTTAAACTAAAATATGAAACAGAAGCTTCTCACTCCCAGAAGATGTTTTGCATTTAAAGAGGGTAATCTTCAGAGACAAGAAAATGATTAACTTTACCTTCATTTCCATGTATGGTAGATCACTTTCCAATTCTGCTTTGTCTCTGGCCAATTTGGCTTTTCGCTCTTCAATAAATTCATCCAAATTATCAGCCATTTTGAAGATACTAAAAATAAAAAAAAAATGTTTTAATAAATTTTTAGGGCTTCCCTGTTGGCCTAGTTGTGAAGAATCCGACTGAAAACGTAGGAGCCACAGGTTCGATCCCTGATCTGGGAAGATCTCACATGCCCTGGAGTAACTAAGCCCGTGTACAACCCCTGAGCCTGTGCTCTAGAGCCGGGGAGCCACAGCTAACAAGGCCGTGCACCCTCGAGCCCACGCTCCACCACCAGAGAAGACAAGCGCCTTAACTCAAGAGCAGCCCCACTCTGCAACTGGAGACAAGCCTGCACAGCAATGAAGATCCAGCACAGCCAGAAATAAATAAAACTATCTTTTAGAAAAGATCATAGTCTAAATATTTAAAAACCCTTCAGTGAGCATAGCTGTATCAGAATATCTTTAGGCTAATTATTAACACACAGGTTTAGTCTACATTTAGTACTCAGTGTCAGTTATCAAATTAAGGACGTCAAACAAGCCTGAATGCAATTTGCCTACCAGCTTTCAATCTCAACTCCTCCCAAAACCTACAACATACTTCAAAATATCAGAAAAGAAATAAAAAGGAAAATGAACAACCACCACCACCACATCAGAAAAAAAAAAAAAAAAAACTTTTGAACCTAAAAACAAAACACTTTTATTAAAATTTATTTTAACTATCTGGAGATAATTCTGAACTTACAAAAAAGTTACAGTAGGAATTGTACAGAGATTACCTGTATATTATCCATTCTCTATTGCTTAAGATTTTGCACCACTTGCTTTACCTTTGTGCACACAAGTTTGTCCTTTTTACACAATTTTTTCTAAAGTTATTCACAGCACGAATTACACATATCAGCGCTCTTTACCCCTAAACGTTTCATTGTGTACTAAGAATTATTTCTTACATAACCTCACCATACTTGTCAACTTCAGCAACATTTTTTTAATCTACTGTCCATGTTCCCACATTGTCACCTGACCTAATACTATCCTCTACACCGTATTTTTCTCTCTCTTCCATTAGGATCCAGTCTAGGTTAGGTAAAGCATTTCACTGTTATGTCTCCACTTTGGAACATTTCTACAACCTTACTGTCGTTTATGACACCAATATTTTGTAATACAGCCCACCCACCACCTACTCTTTTAACAGAACAGTCCTTATTTGGAGTTTGCCTCATGTTTCTTCATGACTAAATTCAGGTTATACATCATCAGAAAGAATATTACATAGGTGATGTGTCCTAAAGGTGTCAACAATGAGAGACACACATTCACCTGCTCTTTACTAGTGATGTTACTTTTTTTTTTTCCATTTATTTTTATTAGTTGGAGGCTAATTACTTTACATCATTGCAGTGGTTTTTGTCATACATTGAAATGAATTAGCCATGGATTTACATGTATTCCCCATCCCGGTCCCCCCTCCCACCTCCCTCTCCACCCGATCCCTCTGGGTCTTCCCAGTGCACCAGGCCTGAGCACTTGTCTCATGCATCCAACCTGGGCTGGTGATCTGTTTCACCCTAGATAATATACATGTTTCGATGCTGTTCTCTCGAAACATCCCACCCTCGCCTTCTTCCACAGAGTCCACAAGTCTGTTCTATACATCTGAGTCTCTTTTTCTGTTTTGCATATAGGGTTATCGTTACCATCTTTCTAAATTCCATATATATGTGTTAGTATACTGTAACTTCTGGCTTACTTCGCTCTGTATAATGGGCTCCAGTTTCATCCATCTCATTAGAACTGATTCAAATGAATTCTTTTTAATGGCTGAGTAATATTCCATGGCGTATATGTACCACAGCTTCCTCATCCATTTGTCTGCTGATGGGCATCTAGGTTGCTTCCATGTCCTGGCTATTATAAACAGTGCTGCAATGAACATTGGGGTGCACGTGTCTCTTTCAGATCTGGTTTCCTCAGTGTGTATGCCCAGACGTGGGATTGCTGGGTCATATGGCAGTTCTATTTCCAGCTTTTTAAGAAATCTCCACACTGTTTTCCATAGTGGCTGTACTTATTTGCATTCCCACCAATAGTGTAAGAGGGTTCCCTTTTCTCCACACCCTCTCCAGCATTTATTGCTTGTAGACTTTTGGATAGCAGCCATCCTGACTGGCGTGTAATGGTACCTCATTGTGGTTTTGATTTGCATTTCTCTGATAATGAGTGATGTTGAGCATCTTTTCATGTGTTTTTGTGCCATCTGTATGTCTTCCTTGGAGAAATGTCTGTTTAGTTCTTTGGCCCATTTTTTGATTGGGTCATTTATTTTTCTGGAGTTGAGCTGGAGGAGTTGCTTGTATATTTTTGAGATTAATCCTTTGTCTGTTGCTTCGTTTGCTATTATTTTCTCCCAATCTGAGGGCTGTCTTTTCACCTTGCTTATAGTTTCCTTTGTTGTGCAAAAGCTTTTAAGTTTTATTAGGTCCCATTTGTTTATTTTTGCTTTTGTTTCTAAAATTCTGGGATGTGGGTCATAAAGGATCCTGCTGTGATTTATGTTGGAGAGTGTTTTGCCTCTGTTCTCCTCTAGGAGTTTTATGGTTTCTGGTCTTACATTTAGATCTTTAATCCATTTTGAGTTTATGTGATGTTACTTTTTATCACATGGTGGTCAAGACTGATCTCTGCACTACTGTTTCCTTGTAAGTAATAAGCAGTCTATAAAATGGTACTTTTACACCATGCAAATATTCTGCTCCTGAACAAAATTTCCAAGATTTAGCATCAACTGGTGATTCTTAATTGATTTAATCTTTGATTCCTGATGCCTGCAAAATGCTAATTTTCCAATTTCATCACTCCCTGCATATATATTTATCAGTTGCCACTGATTTATTTTTCAGTTTATTGTTAAGACTTCATGAAAGGTTTTTTTTTCTGTTGTAAGTCCTGGATTTTTAAAATACAAAGCTGTTGGTTTTCTTGAGGAATAATTTACGTGCCACACAACTTACTCATTTAACAGAAGTTTTAGTAAATTCACACAGTAGTACAATTATCACCATAGTCATACTTTATAATGCTTCCATCACCCCAAAAAAGTTTTCTCATGCCCCTTTGTAGTCAATCCTCACTCCCACCCCTGACTTGGGCATCAAAGATCTGTTTTCTGTCTAATTGTCCCTAATCTGGAAATTTCATAGAGATGTCTTTTTTATGTGGTTTCTTTCACTTAATGTAATATTTCCAAGATTCATCCTTACAGTTGCATCTATCAGTAAGTAGTTTTTACTACAGTGTGTGTACACTCAGTTGTGTCCAACTCTCTGCAACCCTATGAACTGTGTGGCCCGCCAAGCTCCTCTGTCCATGGGATTTCTGAGGCAAGAACACTGGAGTGGGTTGCCATTTCCTCCTCCAGGGGGTCTTCCCAACCCAGGGATCGAACCCACGTCTCCTGTGTCTCCTACATGGCAGGTAGATAGCATCCAATTACATGGAAATGTTTTTTATCTATTCATACCTTGCTAGACAATTGAGTTGTTTCCATTTGAAAGCCTGCTTAGGAATAATGCTATGAATATCTGTATAGAGGCTTTTATGTGTTTTCAACTCTGTTCGATAAAAGCCTAGGAGTGGAATTGCTGAGTCATCTGTAACTCCGTTTTAACATTTTGAGAAACTGTTCCCCTCATTCCAACCAGCAGTGTATGAGAGGTGCAATTGCTATACATCCTTGCTAACGCTTGGTACGTTCAGTCTTTTCGACAGTCGTTCTAGTGGGTATGCTGGGCTCCCCTGGTGGCTCAGCAGGTAAAGAATCCACCTGAAATTCAGGAGACCCAGGTTCAATCCCTGGGTTGGGAAGATCCCCTAGAGAATAGAACAGCTACCCATTCCAGTATTCTGGCCTGGATAATTCCATGGGCTATATAGTCCATGAGATCACAAGGAGTTGCACACGACTGAGCGACTTTCACTTCACTAGTGGGTATGTTAAAGCTTCTCACTGTGGCTTTAATTTGCATGTCTCTAATGACTATGATGTTGAACATCTTTTCACGTCCTTATTCGTATATCCATATATATAACCATTGGCCCAAAGCCTTCAAATCTTCGGGCCCATTTTTAAAATGAAATTGTTTTCTTATTGAAATGCAAAAAACAAACAAAAAAACTTTCATATAAGCTAGATACAAGTCCTTCATCAAACACATTTTGTAAATATTTTCTCCCAGTCCGTAGTTTGTTTTCAAATTTTTTTAATGTCTTCTTTTCTTAATACTTTTATTTTTTACAGCAGTTTTAGGTTCACAGCAAAATGGAGCATAAGGTACAGGTTTCCCTTATATCCTCTGCCCTGACTCATGCAATCTCTCATCCACTATCAATATCTTCTACCAGAATGGCACATGTTACAACCAATGAATCTACACTGACACATCTTACCACCTTCAGTCCATACTTTACATCAGGGTTCATTCTTGGTGCTGTGCATTCTATGGGTCTGGACATATGTATAATGACATGGATCTACCTTTACTGGATCATATAGAGTAGTTTCACTGCCCTAAAGTAGTCTGTATTCCACCTTTTCATTTCTCCCTCCTCTCCAATCACTGTCAACCGCTGATATTTTTACTGTCTCCACAGTTCTGCCTTTTCCAGAATGTCATATGGTTGTAAACACACACTATGTAGCCTATTCAGACTGGCTTCCCTCACTTACTATTACATACTACTAAGGTTTCTCATTGTCTTTTCACGGCTTTTCAGCTCATCTCTTTATAGCACTGAAAAGTATTCCAGTGTCTGGATATACCACAGTTTATCCATTCCTTCATCCCACACTCAAGGCTAGCATGGCTGCTTTCAGATTTTGACAATTATAAATAAAGGACCTATCAACACATGCAGTGATGTCTTCCAACCAGCAAATGTTTTTAAACTTTATGAAGTCTAATTTATCATCAATTTTTAATCAACTGTTTGTGTCTTTTGCGTCATATGTAAGAAATTTTACCTAACCTGAGTTCACAAATATTTTC